TGCACTTTTATAATAAATATATTTTGAGAGATGAGAGACACCTGTCTGGTGAACCAAAGCGTGTTTGCTACGTAAAGTAAGATTAAGCCGGGTTTTTTTAAATTTTATTTAAATACATTTTGTTTGATTCGTCACGGAAAAAGATGACCTTTTATATAAATATTTTGATTTTCCTACTTAGATATAAATCTTTTAATTTTTTAGTGATTTCCGCTTGTCAAACAGAATCAGACTTGTAATGTTCAAAGCATTTTACTCCTATCAATAAATTAGTATATTAGACCTTTAAAAAATCACAACAAACGAATTATCATTTTCTCTATTAAATCATTACGATATTTGTACAATATTTTTAGAACATCTTTGATCTACCATATCACATTTAGAAAAGACGGGATTGCATTAGATATATAGAGATCCCGAGATTTGACCCCTGCCGTGTCATATTCAGAAAAGCCGGGATCGTATTTAACAAAGAGAAATACCGGGAATTGACCGTCTGCCATATCACATTTAGAAAAGCCGGGATTGTATTAGATATATAGAGATCCCGGGATTTGACCACTGCCATGTCACATTCAGAAAAGCCGGGATCGTATTTAACAAAGAGAGATACCGGGAATTGACCGTCTGCCAAATTACATTCAGAAAAGCCGGGATCGTATTAGATATATAGAGATCCCGGGATTTGACCACTGCCATGTCACATTCAGAAAAGCCGGGATCGTATTAAACAAAGAGAGATACCGGGAATTGACTGTCTGCCATATCACATTTAGAAAAGCCGGGATTGTATTAGATATATAGAGATCCATGCTGGATCACATATATAAAAGCCGGGATCGTTTTAGACAAGCAGTGTCTATCATCACCTTCATCATCGTCGTCATCATCACCATTATCGTCATCACTAATAAATCAAGTTATTATAATATAGGGGAAATTATTATTGAGTGGCATGCGGCAATATAATAATGTGTATATAACGATGGTCAATACAAGTTGGCAATCAATTAATTCTATGATAATATACATGTATCTAAATCATATATCAGTGAGGTAGAAGTAGCTAGTTCATTTTGAACAAACACAAAACAGAACAGAACTTTTATTTCGGATTTATACATAGTACATCATCACATACATAATAATATTCAAGTAACATGTACTTTCAGTGCAATCCATGTAAAGAAATCATGATATAAATAATATAAAGAAATCAATAATTGTAATGAAACTTACGTTGATTGTTATTAAGCCTCAGTTGAGGATGAACATATTTAAGGAAGAAAATCAATATCAAAACTTTAAAATAAAAAATTTTGATCTATCATTGAACATTATTTAATAGTGAAGTTCTAACAGTCATAACATTTTTGTAATAAAATGCTAATTAACATAGTTCATTTCTATTATTACTTTGCACCAATGCAATAAATTTGTACATACTTGGGTTAACAAAATAATATCTTTTAATATAAAGGTTACGAACATTTGTATAACATGGGCATATAAGATCAAAATGAAATTCGTCTTCTAAGTCTCTTAAAGCAGCACGCCTCCAGATTCATGCTAATTTTCATAAAAAATTTGAAAATGTTTTTGAATGTTTTATATTGTGAAATAACCAAAAGTAAGCCATTTATACATTATCAATGGCACTTACAAGCCATGTAAATTACCAAAAAGTGGTCAAAATATGCATAAATAGACCTTACTGCGTTAGTAACGCAGCAGAAATATAGTTGTACATTTAAAAAAATCAGTCATTAACTGCACATAACATGTAAAATATTACTTGAATCTTGAACCATTTTACGTTTCCTAAAGTCGTAGTACATATTTCTCAAGTTTGATTTTATCGAAATATTTTGACTCATCTGGAGGCATGCAGCTTTAAAGAACAACATTGGCAGTAGCGTTCATTTCTATTGTATTGTATGCATTCTGTTTCTAGCATATCTGCCAGTTTGTATTCTTAGGTTGTGTGCAGAAGTTCGTAATCTAGTTACAAATCGTCTCAAATGTTCAGGCAATATATCTAAATATCTTTCGTTACAAAACTTCACATATACAGACATGTAAATAAACACATTTTTCAGTTTGATAATTCATTTTAAAGCTGCATGCCTCCTGATAAACCAAAATATTTCAAGAAAACCAAACTCGCGAAAAATGTACCAAGATTTTAAGAAAAGTAAAAAAAATAGAAGTTTCAGGTAATAATTTACATGATATACGCGATTTATGCCTGATTTTGTCGTATTTATAACGTTAATATACGTACCTGTTATAACTACATATTGATTTTATTTCATTATGCGGTAAAGAACCAGGGATGTATATAATATATATAAACGTTCCTGAAAAATCGAAAACCATGTGGCAATAACTTTTTTCAAATATTAGGATTCACAATAGACGAAAATAAGATTATTGTTGATATTACAAATCTATTTTTATAAAATAATAAAAAAAGTATTATATATGATTATGACACAAATTAACAAGGAAGAACACATACCGTGGTAATAGTAAAACATAAAAAGTATTATACAAGTAAAATAACATTGCCTAGTACATACAGTTTCACAATTTTATTTAAAAATGCACGTGGTTAATATGTGCTTCGTAATTAATTTCTAAATATATATTATATAAGTATTATTGACTCCAAGAGATTTTGCAAATGTGATTAAGAGTAAAATGTCAATTAATATAATATTTTCTGTCACAGAAATTATTTCATTAATACAAAGATTTGTATCTGTAAGCGACGCTGGGCCAATCAACAGGGTGCATATGTTGTAATTACAATAAAAGCGACACAGGGCCATGATATCATAAATCAACAGGGTGCATAACATTACATCGGATAACGTCACTCGTGCCAGTTATTTAATTATGATCCGACTTTAGCTAAATGATCATCCTAGGGGCTTTATGACATTGGCCATGTCTCACTGATTTGATCCCAAAGAATGACTTCCAACTGGTATCAATAAACACAGTTGTAACAGAAATAAGTATTTTTCAATTATTAACGAAATTTCTGTGTACGTTTGTCATCTTGTTTATAAATACGTTAAATGAAGGAAAATATTTTCTTTACATTATCTAATAAGCAGAATATGAAAAATATAAAAAATTTAAGTTGAAAATATCACAAAATTAATATAATTCATTGTACCTTTCATAAAATATGCAGTGCATTAATTAAACTGGCGTGAAGTATAATTTTATGATAATGCCTTTTTATCTTTTCTCAATTAATTCGCTTTGTGAAACAATATTTTGATGTTGCAAGACTCAAACTTGTTTTTATTGGCAAAAGCATTTTACAGTGTCAAGTTATTTGGTCTTTTTTTAAATTGCCTTTTATGGACCGTGTTTCACACTGTGTTTACTGATATCGTGTGTATAAAGATAATATATCTTACATGTCTGCACTAAAATGTTTATTTTACATTCAGAAAGAGAAATTATCAGTATTTTAAAATATCAATTTTAAGTATAATTAATCTTTAATGCAACACCTATTAAATCGAATTAAGGTTTTGAAATTTTTAATTGCTTCATCATTATATTTTTCAATTTTTCATTTACCATGATCTTGCACATATAAATTTTCATCAAGTTATGTAACGTGAATTACTATTTTCAATGTTATACGAACCGCAGCCAGAAAAGCCGGTATCCTATTAAAACATATAGGGATCCCGGGAATTGACCAGTCCAATAATATATTTTTCAGATAAGCCGGGATCGTATTAAACATATAGGGATCCCGGGAATTGACCAGTCCAAGAAGATATTTTTCAGATAAGCCGGGATCGTATTAAAACACATAGGGATCCCGGGTATTGACCAGTTCAAGAATATAGTTTTCAGAAAAACCGGGATCGTATTAGACGTACAGATAAAGAGTAAATTATCATTCGGTCTATTGGCCATAGTCGGAAGTGTCACTAAACACCTTTAATACACCAATGTTAATTAACACCAGGGACGATAGGTTTAGGGTCCTGTACTGGACATATTTTTTAAGGAAAATGAGGTCCGCTACAGTTCTTTTTCACTTTATATTAAAAATTGACAAATAATTTGTTTTTCTTTTAAAAATATTCATTTTAGACATTCATATCTGTTTATAAGTGAAACATGTTATTTTTATACGATCCATGGAACTTGATTACTTGTTAAACATCTGTAATATATACCTTATGTTTTACATTTGTATTCTTTCTTTTTTTTCTTCAACGTGAAAGCCTTCTGGTATAGTATATATCATTAGAAAAACAACAACACATTTGTTAATTTGCAGATAAATCAGCATTTTTATATAGTATTTTACACGCCTTTTACGTAAAATAAGCATGCCAATTAAGTCGAACTTGTATTTACAATAATGTATAAATACTCAACCATAATGGTCACGAAAAATAGTTGATTTTCCTTATTAGATTTAAGAGATCCCGGATAATCGCATTAAGAAAAGCCGGGATCGTATAAGATATATATATCCCGGGAAATTGACCATTACCATCTTGCTTTCAGAAAAGCCGGAATCTATTAAACACTTCAGAGATCCCGGGAATTGACCACCTGTCATACACGTCAAAAGTTTTTTTTGTTATCATATAAGTATATCTTCTGATCTTTTCTAAAAATAATATTTAAATACATGAACATAAAATTAAGCCAAATAGTGTAGAAACAAAAACTTTGATTTTTCCAATTATACTATAATTACAAGTATTGTGATTTCCGCATTTTAAGTTTGTTAATAAATAACTCGAAATATATTTAAATCTTAAGTTAAATTCATTTACTGTTCATTACATACAATTAAAGAAATAAATAGTTAACGTTTAATCGCCTCTCATAACGACAATAATCAACACAAATATAGTTTATGAGTTTTCCCTATATATCTAATACGATCCCGGATCCCGGGCGTCCCGGATCCCGGATCCCGGGATTTTCCCCCCACCATTTCATAATGTTCGGGTAAAATTTGGCGCAAGTTCCAAAAAATAAAGTAAAAAATGCATTTATTTTCAAACGGTGTTATACTAGTATGTTAGAATCAAATGGCTGAAACTGAACTGGATTTGCTGATTTTTTTGTTGATTATCAAGTTTCTGCTACTTAATATATTTACTGATTGCAGCTTATGTTAAAAATAAATACAGCATCGTCCGAAAAAAATATATATCCGAAAACGATGTCAATAAATGCATTATTGGTGAAAGATGTTGAGATCATGATGGTTTTAAGGTTGCAAAATACAGTTTGTTAAGTATTCAATAAAAATTTGTTGCTCAAAATGCTTCCCTTACATCGGAAAAGAGTCAACTCGGCCCTATACCAACTCGGCACGGGTCAACTCGGCCCACTTTACAAAAATATATATAACGTCCAATCACCGTATAAGAGCATTGATTGCTGCCGAAATGAATGCACGTGTCATACGTTTTTTTTTCTATCAAATACTAACAGAAATACATTGTCTGTGCATTATCTAGTTAAAGTAATAAAGAACAGAAGTTTAATATGTATAAATATACTTGCGAAAATTCATGTTAATATTATAGATATTTTCATATAGACTTATTTTCATCAAAGTAACTTCTATTTGAACGACCCAGTTTTCAATTATCTTTTATTTCAATAAAGGCTAAATACAGATCTTATTTCCGTATTTTTTTTCCTCTCTGTCTCAGTGTATATTTCAACACATTGACACTGAAAGTATAAAAAATTACGGTTAAACCTATCACGAGTCAGAAATACAGTGAGATACGCAATCGGTTATCTTTACTTGCAATTCTACTGGTAAGAAAAGCCTGTGGAAACTGTCAATCCGTGTATTATAAATGATTACAATAATTACAATAAACAATGATAACACAAACCTAAATATTAATAATTGAAAAGTGGGCCGAGTTGGTATAGGGCCGAGCTGACTCGGTGGCCGAGTACGTTTTAGGGCCGAGCTGACCCGGATTCCTTACATCTGCAAAAAATTACGGACTCGCATTTTGCACAGACGCTTGGTGGTCAGATCCTGCCTCACCCCTAACGATGCGATTCACGATATGTATTGCATACTTTTCGTGTTTACATTTTGGAGTCTGCAATCTTTACTATATCTCAGACTTGATATGAGACTTGATACAGTATTATTTTCATATTTATGTATTAAAAAATTGTTTGAAAACCATTTTTTATCGTTGTAATTAGAGGTGTAACGATTCATCGATGCATCGATACATCGCGATCTGCCATATCCTCGATGTATGCATGGTAATGAATTTATGAATTCCAATATATCAGGATGCAATACATATTTCACCACCTGATGCATCGATATAGTGGCAAAGTATCGCAATACACTAATAGGTATGGTATAATGAAAAATCCTTTAGTAACAAGTAAAAATCATTAAGTAATTAGTAATGTAAATTGTTGAAAGATCAAAACTTAAAATTAATTTTTAATAACAAGTCGAAGAGTTTATTGTTTTGTTATTGAAATAGTTTTACATTACATTCGTAAATATGCTGTGAACAAATGACCAAGTTTTTTATATTAGATAAAGTCTGAAAGTCAGTATTGTGATATGTATTGCATCGCAACATAAGAATCGCAATATGCATCGCATTTTATCAAAGTATGCAATATATATCATGAATTGCATCGTTTGGAAATGCAAGTATCGTGATATGTATTGTGACAGAAAAAATGGCAATGCACAGCCCTAGTTGTAATGTAAATTATTTTTATAGAAGTCCCATTCGTGTTTAAATATTAAAATAGTTTTGATAGAGTGTTTACAGGGGCGTATCACCTTTGGGGGGGGGGCAGGATCTGACCCCCAACAGTATGTGGCATTTTGTCTTTTTAAATTTATATGAAAAAGTCTAAGCCTCAAAGCATGGCGTTAAATATAAGATGGAGGAGAGTTGTGACGTCACACAGTTAAACTCAGTATCAGCGGGTTTGTGTTACCGCAAGTTATCATATGTCACGAGATTTTGTGAGAATTGATGCATCCTGGGTAAAAGTAGCCAAAATACCGCCATATTGAATTCCCGGAGGTACATCAACGGAAAAGACTAAACATTTTTTACTTCTATAAGAAGCAATAGTTATATAGTTATTTATTCTAAAACGTACAAAACACACTTTTCCACACAAGTAGTTCTCCGATAAAATCCATGTCGGCAATGTCAGCAATAATTCAAGGATGTCGCCAAAGTTAAACGATAGCATAAAAATCAGAGACTAGCAGAAAACACAATTATCACCAAAGCGCGCAAACGTTTGGGGGTCTGAATCGGGCTCTCCTCTATTTTCGGAGTGTCCTATCTGTTGTTTAAATATCTGTGCTCAAAGTGAGCTTGATTTACTTTTACCATGAAATAGTATAAAACAATTGTTTATTTTTATTTTACATTTTCCGTTTTTAAAATGTCATTTGGTATTTTATACACTGCTTCTGTTTATTCTGGTTCTCTGTCCTATTATGGTTCCCATTTAAGTGTGCAGGATACCAGTCTACGCTTCTGTTTCCAATCAGAATACCTTGGCTTTTATTGTCATCTTGTAATTTGAAAAGTTGTGATGTGTCAATTCAGTACTTCGGACGAGAGTTTTCAAAACCATCACTATCTAGCAGGTACTCTCGTTTCTAATGCTAGCTTTGCGAGCAGGCCCTTCGGGGCAGCTCTTCAAGCTTGCTATTAATTAGAGGTAACAATGTTTGCATGAATGCTTACCTTTAAACAGCGACATGAAAACTCAATCGCAACTTTTCTGCCCTTTCCGTTAGTCTTAGGATAAGGGCCACAAACACAATAGTATGAAAACACAGGACAGATAATGAGATATGGTATTTCGCTCTAACCTACCCCTAAGAAACTAGACATGTAAACATATAGTAATTTAATGCTGGGAGTTGTTGATAATTTTATTTCCAATATATCAAGAAAATGCCCACAAACAGACTTAATTTGAATTGATTACTGTTAAAGGAAATAAAGCTGTTATTATAAATAATTTTAGTATTATTTCAAGTTAAATTCAGGAGATATTTAATCTCGAAGTCACATCATCTGATCATGTGAGAAACAACAGAGATGTGACCTGTGGGTTTTTTTGTGAAAATTACCTGACTGAACAACAGTTTATTCAAAATGAATGAATAATATTTTGTATTGCGCATTTAAATATGATAAAATTAATTTATTATATGTAATAACTGTTCAATAAAAAAAAATTAGTAAAAGGCAAGTTTACAGTTAATTTTTTTGTGTCAGTATATAATATAAATATATATATAATATACAAGATATATCAGTAACTAATATCACTTGCCACATGATTATTTTTTTTCAGTTTAAAATGAGTTCATGCAATGGCAGACAATGTGGACCTTTTTGAAGTTGTGCCACCGTCCCCTGTTAACACATCCACACAGATCTCGCAGCGAACAAGTAGACTTCCATTATTTCCTAGACTACCGTCTTTGGACCTAGAATGTAGGAAAAAATTGTTGTTTTTTCCAAAACAGAAGCTTTTTTTCCGCTAATATGTATTTTGGTGACCAATATTGGGTCATGTTCCCAGTCTATTAAAGTAATATTTTTTCCCCAGTCTCAAGAAAAGTAGAAAATTCCCATTTCAAAGGTAAAACAACAAATACAGAGGTGGAATTAAAGTTATTGTTATTATGTGACACTATGCTACATGTTTACAAAAAAAATGTTTTTTTTGGTTTGTTTTTTTCATTCCAGATTTTTAAATGTACTTAAAACATAAATTTTTCTGTTATAATTGATCTCTGACATTTATTGACAGTCTACTCTAACAGTCATTTGTCTCTCACTGTAGATTTAGATTATAAGTAGTCGATAACTTGCAGAGAAATTGGTAATTACTGGATAGTTATCTAGGAAAGCCTGCTAGGTGGATCAACTGCTGAAATATGCTAAAAGATGTATTAAAATGGGCGAAAAGAATTGAAAAACAAACAAACAAGAGAAGTTGATTTAAAAGTTATATGTTTTGGTAAATTTTGCATGTTGTATCATTTCCAATACTTTTGTTTGCACAATTATTATGTATGAATAAAATTTCATAATCGTTTATACAATCTTTTTTTTTGAATTTTAGTGGATATTAGTGAAGTAGATGTAGAGCCATTATCGCCCATAGCAACTGTGTATGCAGGTCAAAGAAATCAAAATAATAGCGGCAACAGAACTCACAGGTAATAGTTATTAATGTGTATCACATTTAGCCAAGTGTTAGAAAAACAACTAAGATTTTTATCTTGGCCTTACATTTAGTTTACTCAAATTTTTTATTTTAAATTTTGATTTTTCCCCATCAAGAGCTATTGATTTAGTAATTTAACTTTTTTTTACTGCAGTTACAAAACCTTTTTACTGAACATGACTCCATTTTAAGGGGAAAATATAATATTTTGGCCAGGGGGAAACAGCCTGTATAAGTATGTCAAAAAAGAAAATCACTGCATTAGAGTAAAAGGCCATGTCCCCAGAATACAACAGTGTAAGAAAAAAAAGCGAAATGGCCATTTCCAGTTTTATTTGCACATCTGTCTGGTTTGTCACTGCTTGTGAATTATATATGCTGACAATGGGTTCCACAAAGTTTCAAGTTTTAAGTTTGCAAACACATCAAGATTTAATTTAATTTAATATTGAAAGTGGAAAGAAAAAAGATGCAAGTAGTTATACATAGAATTAGAGCTTTCCAATCAAAAATATAAATAAATAGTGTCTATTATAGGAGTGGGGATGGGGGATTCACTCATATTTTTAAGAATACCCCCCTATTTTTTCAGAGGCAGGGGGAAAATTTTACATAGAGAAAGAAGATGAAAGATCAACAAATAAATAAATTCTCACTTTTCGATAAAAATCCCCCCTGTTTTTTGAATCCTAGAATAGACACTGAATGAACTGATTAATGGACCTACTATCCATATGGTACATGTAATGGCAGGTGTATCTATGGCCACAATCATGAGGTGCTCTTTCTGTACCTCATAGTTTGGCCATATTGTTAGCATTGTCCAAAGGGACATCTGGGAATATTCCTTCTAGAAGCAATAATATATCTGTACATCAACAGTTACTTAGCAGGGATTTTTTTGGCTTATTTTATAGCCGATATTCGGTCATATTCCCAATTGAAAATAGTATATTATTTTCCCAATCCAAGGAAACAAATCCCAATTGAAAGTTACAAAATAAAAAATTAAAAATATTGAATAAAATTCTAAAATCTTTGAAAATCAAGGCTTCTCCACTGATATGGTGCTTAAATGCCTTAAGATACCATCCTAGACAGTGATTCTTTGCATTCATTTAATCACTACAAAACTTAAGTCACGCAATTTTTCCCAATTTTTAACAAAACATTGCTGAAATTTCCAATGCCATGGGTATGGGTTATGTTCCCAAAATCCTGTGAAAAAAAACCTGCTTTAGTGACTAAGTAACTGTTAATGTACAGATATATTATTGCTTCTAGAAAATTATACCTGCGTTTAGGTAAGCATAGGTTCTGATGTATTGACATTGCAAATATGTTAATGAGATAAATTTGCTAATTGCATTTTGTTTGTAGTACAAGTGGATCGGATCTCAGTGATTGGCTGATTAGAGAGAGACGAGAACCTAATAGTAGAGACGTGCAACCCGGACAGGTAAACTGTTATATATCAAACTTGAAAATTTAAATGATATTCAAGACATAGATACAGTCTGCTCCACTTATAACGAGATCGGTTTTAATGAGTTACCGCTTCTAACGTACATTCTACTGTGTCCCGGCCTTTTTCCTTCTATTTTCCTTTCATTTTATATCGTTTATAACGAGATCGGTTTTAGCGAGATATCGGTAACAACGTACATATTTTCGCCTTCCCATGCATAATTTTCATAATTTTAACGAGGTCACATCATTGGCACTTCGTCTGCATCAGTTTGACACCTTGAGATAAACAATGGTGACCAAAAACAAAGGTTATCTTAGGAAGTAATTATTGAGCAATTAGCGATCAAATGTGTCAGTCTTGTTTTGTCAGCGCTCTGGGCTAAATTGTCCTTTAGGTGACGAAATCTTATAACAAAACAATTTCATTAAGTGATTAGCACAAAGGAAGCAGCTAATTTCTTGCAGTGTTATTCGGTGATCGTGAGAAATACACTGCATGACTTTTGAAAAAAAATAATTTAAAATGTGCATATGAATAAAAACACTAGCGGTTTGACGTAGTATGGGTTTTCATATGTTTTGTTCAAATTCTATGATAGCTAGATATATTTATTTACATGTATATTTTAATAAAACAAAAAACTACTGAGTGCAAAGAGTTACCTCCCATTATGTACTCTTCAAAAAGAAGATATGCGAAAGCGAAAGTAGAAATAAATGATGTTCAACGGTGTCAGATTTCTCAATTTGTTCTGTCCCGGTTATAACGAGACCCGTTATAACGAGGAATCTTGCAAAGTCCCGACGATCTCGTTATATCCAGAGTGCACTGTATATAGTTTCAGATAAGTCTTTTGGGGATAAAGGAGCTTTTAAAAAGGCCTTTACAATTTCAAAATTTCCATGTCATACTTTATATTGTTTTCTCCATAATATTTAAATCTGTGAAAAATGTTTATCTAATTTCCTCATCTTTAGGTAAAATACTTTTATTTCAGAAACTTATTGAAATCTAGTAAATTCTTACAGAATATGTCTAATTTGAATAAGTGAATGTACAAACTATGTTGGGGAAGCTGCATTCCTTAATACTTGTCAAATTAATTTGGTCTATGCTTATAAAAACTGCCAGACTTTTAATGACACCATGTAATCATACTGTGATTACCTGTAGTGTGTAGAGTTTAAAACGTAACATATCTTCTCTGCGTGTATTCAAAGGGTGTTTATTTTACATTTCAAAAGAGATTGCTACTTAGTAATTATCAGTGTTTTCAAATATTAAATTTGAGCATAATATAGCTGTAAGTTTTGTTGCTGTTTTTCCTTGTTTAGAAAAAATTTCTTTTTTTTTTGTAATAAAAAATTATTTAGTTTATCTTTTTATAAAGCTTGCATTAATAAGTTAGTACCATCATTTTCAAGATATTGTTTGTAGTTTTAAGACCTCAATATGATAATCATTGTTTATATTACAGGCTGTTGACCATGTTATTGAGTTACTAATAGATGATGACAATTCCAGACCATCTTCTGTCAACAGTGAGGTTATATCTATTGCTGATGGATCGTCAGATATAGAACATATTGTAAGTGTAAGGTCGGTGACTACAAACAAACTTGCCCAACATCGCTGTGGGTTCAAATACCAACGGGGGACTTTGGTTCTTTCATGTGAGGAAGCTATCCAGGTAGCAAGCGGAATGTTGGTGGTTCTACTCAGGTGCCCGTGCCTGACATAATGCAATGCAAGAAAGGGCACGTGAGGTCTTCCTCCACCAGTATAGTTGGAATGTCGCCATATGATCTATAATGTGTCAGTTAGACTTTAAACCCAACCAAAAGAAAAAAAATTGCCATATACAATGTAGTTTACAGGTCTTAATAACATAAAACAATGTAAACGATTTTACAATTGCTACCATACATGTTGGAGGATCTGTCTATAAACTAAATGTTTAGGGTAGAAATGAGACTTGTGTTGAGTTACTCCCATCTGTGTTGGCAGCCAGTGTTTGATTACTCTTAATGCTTATTACATACTTACTTCGTACTAAATATTCTTAAAGTAACATATGAGGTGACAACTTCATTTATAAAATTGAAAGCATGATGTCATTGAAAATATGTGTATAATGGGAGTGGGGGTGCAGTTAGGCATGAGAAGATTAAATGACTTGCCAAGTTTTTAGAATAATTTATTTTCAAATATTTAATTTCTTCAGTTGATTTGTCATACTTCTATTTTTGGATCTGATCCTCATCAATTTCTAAAAAAAACTCTGAGTTAAATCAAACACTTCCTACCCTGGAGATGTACCTGTGACATCTAACAGGAGACAATCTTAAGTTAACTACAGTAGTGTATATAGAGGCTATTTGTTTAGTTCAGTGTAAGATCGAAATATATTTCAACAAGGAAGCACCAAAAGTTAAGGTATATTTCATGTGTGGCGCAGCTATAAACCACTGAAAAGCATGTAATAAATTATCTGATATGTAGTTATCATTCTTTTTGCTCAGAGTGATTCTGGTGATGATGCAGCAGATGGTGATAGAAATGATGACACAGTTGTAAACAGACCAGCCAACCCTGAACCTCCAGAAGAGCTAGGAGAGCCAGGTATAAAACCTTAAGCTACTGGAACTGTTATATTAGTCTTTTTCCACCAGTATAAAGACAGGCCAGTCTACACATTCATGTAGTCTGAGGAGGCTCTATACTGTTGGTAGCTCAAATTTTATATTTTGATACAGAGCTCCAAATAATTTTTTTGGCCAAGGGGTTTTTACCCCTCAAAATTTAGAGTGAGGGGTAAAATTTAAAAAAACTTAAGGGGTAAAATCTGTCAAAAAAGCATTTTGCATTTTTTATAAACAAATTAACTTATTGTTTTTGTTTGTTTCTTTGTTTATTTTCTTTTTTTAGAAAAACCTTTAAAACTAAAATACTAATTCAATGTGAAGCAATACAAAACGTGCCCTGTAAAGTCAGACTTCCAGAGTATACTAGAACTCAAGTTTAGGATACACAGCAAAATTATCAGGGCTTCCATTTTCAAAATTTGGAAGTCAAAGACTTCAAAATCTCTGATATTGGAAGTCACATTATATTGGTAAAGAAGGAAAAGTATTAGATTTTCGGAAGTCACATGCCAAAATGAAGGAGTAAATGACTCCCAAACTTCCACTATTGGAAGCCCTGAAATAAATATATTTTCTAGGAGTCAATATTTTTCTTTCTTTATTTCTGTTGGCATGTAGCTTATCATATGCTCCAGTTTGAACAATTATAGTTGAAATTAGAATTAAAAAAAAAACAAGATTTTTTATCTTTCCTTAAAAAAAGTATTGGTCTGAGAGAAAATTGTCCGAAACTGTAGACTGGGTACGAAAATATTGAGTACAAAACTGCAGGTGAAAATCATGTTATTTTGTTTCAACAACAAAAGTGAAAGAAATTAAAATATATTTTTGTTTATATTGAGACATAAGCATTTCAATAGGTGCCTAAACAAACTTAACTCCTACGATGATTATCTGGCAAAAATTTATATCAATAATTTCACAGGTTACACTCTTCTGTACTTCCTGCTACTTTCGTTTTTAACATGCGTTGTTGACAACAGAACTTTTAGTTTTCAATGCAATAAAATGGAAATATATATTGTATTTTTATGCTCAAAACATCCTCTATCTGAATATCAAATGTTTACACTTCTATTCTTTTACGCTTAAATTTTGACATACAAGCGTATTTTCATTTTGTTGTGTGTAACTTTGACGCACAAATTTTGAAAGTGATGCGTATTTTAGATTTTCCATGCGTATTTTACGCTTATACGCACGCTATCTGGAGCTCTGTTGATAGTGAAATCATTCATTATATTATAATATTTTTGAACTATGCCAAATTCAAAACGGGGCAAATTTCATTACACATATTAAGGGTTAACGTTAAGGGTATAAAGCTATGTTTTAAATACTTTTTCCAGAAAAAAATATGATGTTGGTCACTTTTTGTATTGTCCAGGAAACATTGTGTGTATAATGTCACTCGTGTTTGAAAGGTTGATAAATTTAATACAGAAAACTCCACTTATAATAATACTGCTTATAACCATAAACTGCTTATAATGATGCTGTTGCTACAGTTCTGACTCTTTTCTGAGATATTTCTATGGTTTATAATTTGTGATTAATGAATAATTCATATGCAGTGCATGGGTTATTCCACACATAGAGATATCACTAAATATTTTATTAGAAATACAATGACTTATCCATTAAGTGTCTAAATGCATATGTATATTTGCATGGTGTTGAAATTGGGAAGTTGATGTGTTAGGTATTTCATAAAAAAAAATTTCTTCTCTGGTTGAAGAATGTTTCATATTCCCATATTCCATGGAATATTGATTTTTGTACAAAATGAGATTATAATGAAAATCCATTGTTTGTGCGTGATTAAATTCATATTGCACAAGGCTTTTCAGTCATTCATGCCCGCAATTTTTGTATTTTAGTGATTTGCACATGAACTGGAATTATGCAATATCTTAACAAGTACAATGTATACAATCAAAGTTTATAAGTAGATCAAATATATAAATTATTTACCTTACACTGTTACAGCTGGTCAAATAAGCCTTGAAGATCACGCCTATCCCTCAAACACATCAGTCCAGACATCAGATGTTGCCCCAGCTGTTGCACAGGTGACAGAACCATCAACTGTTACCCCAGTTACACCTGGACCTAGTACTGTTACTCCTCTACCTATTGTACAAGTTCTTGGTGGTCAAGGGCAGTCACCCGCTGATTTTAGAAGCCCTAAGCGGAAGAGAGTTCACTCCCCTGAAAAATCTTCAGTAAGTGGAGATAAGAAAGTAGAAGAGGATGAAGATGAAGGAGAAGTAAGTTTGAATAAAAAGTTTTTTTTTGCCAAATTGCTTTGGCTGAATCATTACTTTGTTTTACTTGTTAAATTTGGCGAAATTTGTTTTTGAGGCTAATTCAACAGTCTGCTGAATTAAGTGTATAATGTTACTAACTGAGTTTTTGTGATGTTATCTTGCCTGCCTGCTTAGCTCAATTGATGGATCCCTACTCTGACCCTTAATTTGAATAACAATAGATTTAACCACAAACATGGACATGCTCTTTTGTTAACAAATATGTTGTGGTGAAATTCTTATTGTTTTCACTAATCTGATAATTAGAATAAGACAGGTCAGGGATCTACCTGGTATGCATAGGGAGAGCTCCATTGGCTATGTTATTTTAAAAAATATTTTTAGACCGAAGGATATACAATGTATGCTTGTTGTTATATGTGCACTTACGTCTCAGTTTCTATAAATAAAATGTTTTATAACTTCATTTTTTGTCCCAATGGTATAGAGTATTGTAGACTGGAAATTTCTAGTTTGAATCCCACATAGGCCAGGATGTTGGCGTATTGTTTTTTTCCAGAGATATAACCATTTTCTTAAGTTCAAATGGTTTTAAAGAGTTAAATGTAATTCTACTATTTTCAGACATGCCCTATTTGTTTTGATACATGGACAACATCTGGTCTTCACAGGTTATGCTCATTAAGATGTGGTCATCTGTTTGGACAAAGGTAAGAAATGATGGTTCTCATACAGTTATACAGATGCCAAGTTTGTTACTGTTCCTATGAGAAAATTAGGACTTACAAAAAGAATTATATCAAGTTTCTAGGCAGCATAAAATATTGAATTGATATTAAAATCTAATAAGACAACAGCAGACACTTGAAATGCAAAGCAAAGGGGCGTCCATGGCCGAGTGGATAAGATTGTGACTACATATCATTTGCCTCTTACTATCCAGCTAGCATACAAAATGTCCGTTGTTCTACTCAGGTGCCCGTTTGTGCCTGAAACAATGTACATACGGAACCTGAGGTCAAAGCAACAACATTTCTAAAATTCAGCAGTATGAAAAATTTTGATAATTGTACAAACTTTAAAGGACTTCAAAGTGTTTTGAAATGTTGATGCTTCATTTTTGCCCATTTGAAGATTTTACATATGATTTACGATGTAAATGAAAATAATGCAAGAATATTGTGGGATCAAAGGCCAATATTTTTGCTCTACATTTGACCATTGGTATATTGTTGAATGTTTTACTCATATCTTACAGTTGTATAGAGAAGTGGTTGAAAGGTCAAGGTGGAAAATGTCCGCAATGTAATGCCAAGGCGAAACGACAAGATATCAGAGTGTTGTATGCAAAATCTATAAAGGTAATTTACATATCTCAATATTACAAATCACATTTTTTTTCACATAAAAAACCCCATGATCAAGATTAAATGATGGTTATTTTCTTTTTATTACTGTATAAACTGTTCAAAAGTAATAATATACTGAAGATGATATTGAAAATTGATGTTTTGAGCAATTCTTGGCTGAATTTGACATAGAAGCTAAAAAATGTTTTTTATTTTTAGGTCATTTAACAGTGTCTGTTCTAGGAATTCAAAAATAGGGGTGATTTTCCCCCCTTTATTTCAAAAAAGGGGGGGGGGGGATTTTCAAAATCAAGGGGTGCCAATATAAACTGCCAATGCTAAATCATCTGCATTAAGTTAACACCGAGGCATTCAACCGATGAAATAATTAAAACGAAAATATTTATTTAAGGCAGCAGAAGTTGTCCCCCCTTAATTTTTAAACGAAAACAAATTATTATAGAACTGTTGCGATTGATTATAAAGGGATTGACAATACAAACAATCGACCTACCTTTCACGTCTAGATCGTAGCTAAGCTAGGAATTGCTTAATTTTTCTTTAATTATTTACTAAACTAAAATGGCGCCCAACTGTCAGACCCAGCACACTAGTTCCGGTGGGTACCATTTATTTCCGTCAACTCCTGTAAGGTACTAAATTATTATAATTAGCTTACAGTTACCTCCCTTCGGTTTCCTGTGTAAATGTAAACAAAACAACCAAATATAATGCAGGATGGAAGTTTTACGATTTTATTAACTTTTTTTTATAGATGCGCGATTTTCATGCACATGATTTTGAATTGTGTGCGATCTTTGAAATACTAGGGTGAATCGCGCAATCGCGCGTCCTAATATAAACACTGCATTTAACACAAAAAATGATTATTCTGAAAATTCATAGTCAGTGAATGCTCTGAAATTTCGCACACAAGTTATTGGTCCAGACCTAGATCAAATGGTATACAAATCATGTGAAAATATGTCCAGTTTTAGCCTATCAAAAAACTCTTTGTACTTCATTTTATGCTGACCATTTTAAACAATTAATTATATGTTTATTAGTTTATTTCAGTCTCTTTCATATGCATACATATATACATAAAACATATTAAAAATTGATAAAAAATACATATGACCATTCTACAATAGAATTATAAGAGACTATATCATATATATACTTATCATTATCCATTTACAATTGATATTTAGTTCCTATTGTTAACAGTAAAGATACATTATAAGACCATTTTACATCATAAAAGTTAGATTATCCCCACTGACCTTCAATAAAAAAAAAAAAAAAAATAAATGAAGAAATGCTGTAAGATATTTTGATAATAAATCTCTAAGTGTTCTAAAAAGTGGCATCTCAAAGTGTTCTAAAAAGTGGCACTATTCCACAAATTTAATAAAACTATATCACCCATGGTCAGACCATGGATGATTGGTCAGTGGTGATATTCTATACATTAGTAGGTAAAACAACTTATCATGTTTAAAACAGATATGTTTCATTTGTATCATACAAATTACTATCATCACATTTGTACAATAAAATTTACTATCGTGTACCATAAGCACCTGTCATCTGAAAAAGATGTTAAAAGACTATACTAAAATTAATTTTAAAAAGAAACTAAAACACTAAGTGGTCTGAAAAACCTTACTTGTACAATATATTGTAGCGGAGTTGAAGAATATTGTAACAGGTTTTGGCTGTGACTTTAACAATATCATTGTTAGAGAGAATAAATACAAGTTTATCTTCATCAGAGAGGTCAACAAATTCTGGCCTTATGTTACGTGCTTTTTCTAACATAGGTAACCTAATGTGCTCATATGCATTACAAGATAATAATACATGTTTTTCACATTCAACTGTAATTTTACATATTGGACATATCCTACTGTCAACAGCAATGTTTTCATATCTACCAGTTTCAAGCTTTATGGGAGCTACTCCACATCTGAATTTCGCTAGTGCAGACATGTGTTTACGTGGCAAATATAGTTTACAATAATTTTCAGTTTTATAATCATTTTTTAACAACTTATAGGTTTCTCAATTTATTACCACCATTCCCATTTAGACTAACATTCCTCCATTAAGCTTTATATAATGACATACATTTTTGAACAACTTTTTCACAAAAAGACTTAGATGAGACTGTTGCACAAACCACGTGCATACTCTACTAAATTTAACTTTTCCATATAATTATTAAATATAAATTGCCATGTTTTTACACCTATTGCTGCTCTTGCGCAAACAAGTAGAAAAGATCTTATAATTAACTCTATTTACATCCATTCTAACAATCTATGCCATTGTTGACATACAGATCTCCATTGTTTCACATGTGTAGGCTGCCAAGCTAATTCTCCATATAAAGCTGCTGTAGGTGTATACCGCCCTACCCCCAGATAAAAACGCATTGCCCTATTCTGTATCGCATCAATGCAGGAGAATGACTTATTACCCCAAATAGAAGCACCATATGAAATGACTGGCCAAACCATTGAATCATACAATTTAACAATACATCATATGGCATGGACCCTAATGCTTTCGATTTGGCAATAAGTAACCCCAGTGCTCTACTTGCACTTTGAGCTATACATTTAGCGGTCTTATTATAATCAAGAAACTCATCAAGTAACAGACCAAGGTAAGTATATTGTCCTACAGTTTTTAGACTATGCTCGCCACATGTGAAAACAAATGAGGATCTGCTGGCCGACTGCGACCTAAAGTGAATAATGTTGCTCTTATCATGATTTACAATCATAGCATTTGATGTACACCAATTTGACAAAACATTAAGCATAAGTTGAAGATCATTTTCAGTTTCAGCTACAAGAACAATGTCATCGGCATATAATAAAATGCAAACCTTATCATTATCTATATCAATTCCTTTACCCAATAGCTTTAATTTTTACAACAAGATCATCTATAAACAAATTAAACAATAAAGGAGATAACGAAACACCCTGTCGGAGCCCACATTTAACATCGAACCATTCTGTTGTAAGGCTATTTATCCTTACACAAGATGAAACTGAGTTATATAATGACTGTATTGCCTGTAACATATTACCATGGATACCCTTACTATCTAATTTGTTCCATAACAATGATCTGTCGATAAAGTCATATGCCTTACGGAAATCAATGAATGCACAAAAGGTTGATAATTTCTGTTTCTTTCTAGTTTCTACAATATTAGTTAAAGATGATACAATGATCAATGGTACTGCGACCCTTCCTAAAACTATTTTGCTCATCACTGAGTATATTGTTAGATTCTGCCCATTTTGATAAACGGTTATTCAAAAATTGTACAGTATATCTTATACATGGTGCAAGACAATGACAAGCCTCCTATATGACAATGGATCTCTTGGATCGGCAGTACTTGATTTCGGTATAGGGCTTATTATTATCTTATTCCATGCAGAAGGAATAATTCCTTTTGAAAAACAGATATTATACAAAATATGAAGAAAAGACACGGAGCAATCATTTTTCAAGATTTCCATAGGTATATTATCACAACCCCATTTATAATTATATGGATAATTTTGAACTTAACAAAAAATGTGTTACAGGCTTTGGACACATCAGAGAGAGACAGGGCACTGAAGGACCTAGAGAAGGAGAGAGATGCAAAACGTAAAGCAGAAATGGAAGGGGCACAAATACGCTTACAGTACCAAATGACCATAGAGGAAAATAACAGGCTCAAGCTGGAAATAGAAATGTTGAAGTCACAACTCCGAAAATCTGGGTACTTTACTGCATTATTTCAATATCTTATGAAAATATTTAGTTTGATTAAATACACAAGGCTGATAGAATGATGATGGCTTTGATTTAAAACTTTTCTTTTTGTTGCATATCAGATCAAGCCTAGTTATTGCCTTAAACAGTTACCTTGGAGATAGATAGTCTGCTTTGTACCAGTAGCTGCTTAAACTTTGGCGTTCTGGTGGAAACTAAATATACCCATGCGAACAGTGCAGACAAAAAAACTGCAGGCTTTTCGGTGCTCTTTGATCATGGTCTGCACTGTTCACTTCTCAATCAGTATTTAAACAATGTTCCCTAAAAATGATGAATGGTTTTGTCCAGATTGCAAGACAGACAAGTCCATTTAAGATATTTAGCGGGGTAAGAGTTAAAGATTTCTATAATATTAAATACACTTCACAATTGCTCTTTTTTGTATGACCTTCATTTATTGAGTGAATTCTAAGATATTTGAGTGGTTCTCCATGACCAAGTGGACATGGTTGCCACTTCAAGCCACTTTCCCTCACAGCTGTGCCTTTGAATCCTGTCAGTAACTCTTAATTCTTTTATAATGTCAGAGGAAATTATCCAGCTAGTTTACGGAAGGACAATGATTCTATTCAGTACCAACTTGTCCTTGAAATAATCAACTAAGAGTTATTTTATATATCATCATCCACCAGTTCAGCTTGAAAGTCACCTTATGACCTTTACAGTGGCATTGTGGCTTAAAATTCAACTGCATAAAAAAAAATTGTGATATTTCTTGTGTTGATACCGTCTTTTGTTTGTGAGCTACCTTTGTGTTGGGATCTTGGGTCAAAATTGGGTCAAGGTCTTGTAAAATTGACATTCATATTTTTGTAATTGTTTTGTCAAAGCTTGATTGTGAAGCATCCATCAAAGTTACCAATGTTTGTGTTCTAATATTTGACAGTTTCAATAACAATTAAGTGTTTTAGTAAATTCTTTCATATACATGTTGTAAGGAACACGTCATTAACATGTTTTATATTTTATCTCATTATAGTGGTACCGGTGCAGCGGGATTGAATGTAGGGAAGAAAGTTGACAGTGTTCTTACAGGGTTGAAATTGTCACAAGTTGCTGGACAATTTGTGCTAGACAAAACAATCAAAATATGGGATGTAAGTTTATGATATAGAAAATATTGAAATGATTTTGCTGTTATATTTATAGAATATACTAATGTTTGAGAATTTAAATTTATGATGACAATTTTGTACTCAAAGTACTTAAAAGCTTGACATTATAGAACTTGAATAGTTATACCTCCTTAACAATGTCTTTATCATTGAATTTAAATTAAATGAGAAAACGCAAAGGGTTGTTGAAAACCTGCTGTGGTAAATTAAATACTAGTTTTTAGTGCTGATTAAAACTGATTATGAAGGAAAGCCATTTATGTGGATCAAGATAGGACCAAAAATATGTGTTAAAATTGATGTAGGGAAACAAAGCATAGTTGCACAGAAATATTATCATTGTTTGATGTTTTCCCTCTTTCTGCTATGTTTGCTGTGTGATTCCCAACAGGGATGAAGGATCTTCTCATATGAGGAAGCTTTCCAGATCGCTAAAGACAGTTTGATGGTTCTATTCTGGTATCCAGATGTACCTGATATAATTTATTTCTTTCAACCATAAAGTTCACCGATGTTAATTTATTTTTTTCAGGCTGGTAACTGTCGTGTTATGGCACACTGTCCTTCACTGGCCACCATAGTTGCTTCACAGCCATCTTCCAGCCCACTATTTCCAGGGTTTGGTGTGAAAAAGGTAATATCAGATTTTAACCATTTTACAGTATTCATAACGGGTGAAATTTTATTTTATGTGAAGTTCTGTTTGTACTGCATGTCATGCTTCCCATCTTATATTTCATACGTGATTTTCAATTTAAATGCCTTGGAATTGGATGTTTATCCAGACTATTGTTGCAGACTATTGGAACGTTCATATTTGGTATTTACATTTCATGAAGTAAAACTGAAATCACGCTAAAATGACATTTTGTAAAGTCCCAGCATGAATTTTTATATATATTCTATATATTTTGGGTTTGAAAAGTAAATATATCCATACATGTTGAATGAAATTTAGACGCCGACAGAATCACCAAGTAGTTAAGTTTTAAAACAAATCATGTGACTTGAACAAACCAGTGAAGTTACAATAACAGATATTATGGATATTGTATGATTGAAACAATTGTAAGTAATTCATTTGACATGTTCTTTAACGTTTCAAGAGTTCACTGTGACAACTATTGTGAAATCTTAAGTCTCCAACCTGACCCATGTGGGTCAAGTTAGGAAACAACCATTTTATTTTTATAAGGAGAAAAGTTTTGTTCCTGTGACTGCCTAGTATATTCATTTTTAGATCATTTACAGAATAATGAATGAAAAATTCAAAAGGAGGAAATGAAAATTTTTGCCTGTGTCTCCCTTTATGATTAAAAGTTGACCAAAATTGATTTTATAAAAAAATAAATAAAATGGAATTGTGTCCAATTACTTTACTATAGTTTTACAAAAAAAGTTGCTTACTGTTTACCAAAATATTATTGATCTTTTCAACAGATATGCACGTTAGATTTTAAAACATCTCAGTACATAACGATTCACAATAAAGCAATAAGAGATGTGGCATTTCATCCCACTGTGGAAGACGGCATGTTGCTATCGTGTGGGCTGGATAAAAAAGTGAAGATGACTAGTCTGCTTAGTAACGCTGTCGTTCAAACGTAAGTTGTTGTTTTAGTATAGGTTATATATATTTAGGACCTTACACAAGTGGTAATTACAAACAGATCTACTCTAAATGAGTCTTACAATCTTTTTAAAGCTGTATATTCATAAAGGATAATAGATCACTACTTGATGTATTATCCACTCAGGTGGTAACATCAATGTGACATTATTATTATCATTATCATAATATTATTTACACTTTTACATGCTAGAATCCGACACCAAATGTGATCAAAAGAACAAGACTAGCCAGTAATTCCATACTTTCTGAGCAGTATCTATGCTATTGTTGGCATAATTATGTTTGAGTATTTAGATAAATCAGTGGTTAAAATTTAGCACGACCCCCAACAGCAGAAAGATGGTAGATTTTCTATTTGGCTTGTATAAATTCCCAATTAACTGCTGCAAACTGCTTGTAAATTTTATGAGAGTGAAATCTTAAAACTACAAGCAGATTGTTCCAGATTCATAGTCTGAAGGGCAACCATGGCTGAAAAATTGTAGTTGTTGACTTCAGACCACTTGTCCCTCTCCACTGTAGGTTCTAATGCTTCCATGTGAGTAAGCTATCCAGCTAGTTTAAGGAACAACAGATGAATGCCAGTGCCTCAAATTATGTATTGAGAGGCACTTGAGGTTATCTTCCCGAAAAAGGTGGAAAGCCGACATATAATTTAACTGTGTTGGTGCGATGTAAATGTCCAACCAAAAACCAAAATAGCCCATTTAATAAATTAAGCAAAGTAAGGGTTCATAGCGTATAACTTCATTTGTAAAGAATTTTCAAATGAAGATAAACTTTATATAATATATTGGCATATTTTAGATACGAGACTGCTATGCCAGCATGGAGTTGTGTATGGAACGCTCAAGACCGGAACTATTTCTATGCCGGTCAACAAAATGGACTCGTTCTAGAGTTTGATATCCGAAATACCGAGGGTCCAGTCCAAGAATTTAACAGCGAGGGTAGCCGATCTCCAGTTGCCTCACTGTGTTATATGACAGAAGATATGAGTGCAGATTTCAGGTACAGTATAAGTGTTTTTTTCTGCGGGCTCCAAATTCTGCGTTTTTTCCAAATTTTGGCATGTTTTTATTTCTGCGGGCTTTATTTCTGCGGCACATTCTTTGGACAAAGCATGATTTAAATTCTGCGGCTCATCTTATCAAAGTCTAAGTCAATTACTCTACCTAATTTATTTGCATGTACACATTCGCATTAAAATTTTGTTTATCGTTGTCACCACAAAACTACATAGTATTTACAAACAATTATAGTTGTTTGCTTGCAAACAAATATAATGCGCAACAATAAGACAGTATGCATCTTTTGATCAGTGTGAAATGACGTGTGAAAAATATACCCTGGTAGTATCTTTAATTCAATAAAATTGATAGAAGTTTATTGTAAATCAGACAACAATTAATGTATACGACGATTATTTAGCAGTATAAGGGGTAAACAAACCTTTTAGCGTACAGGCAAACACTATGATGTTTAAATATCTTTATTCATAACTTGACATAGTTAACAATAGGTACATCCTTACAAGCACAGATTACATACTTTGCTGAAAACAATTTTATATAACTTGATGACCCGCTAACCGTTATAATCCGTTAGTCGTTATTACTTTAGAGGAAACAGGTCATAATGTAGGACACATATCGTTACAAAAAACATGGAGAAATATTCTGCGGTTTTTATTTCTGCGGTGCTGAAACTGACCGCAGAAAACGCAGAAATAAAGTCACCGCAGAAAAAAATAATTTTTAATAGTTTGAACCAATGAAGAATCAGACAGGCCGTGCATATCCATGCTCTGTGTCGTCTGCTATTCATTGAAGTCAAAAACTGTAAAAAAAATCAAATTTTGAGAATAAATCAAAGGGAGTAAAAATATTTATTACTGTGTTGTACCAAATTGTTTGCAACATTTTCATTCCTGTAACAGAAATTATGAATGTAACTGGTTTGTATTTAAGCATTGTTGCCTCATAAAAAAGCAGGACAGTTGTCACCTTGTTTCATAGAGCATTAAGATAGTAGTATCTTTAATTTTACCTTTGGAAGTTAAGTTTTAAAGGCAATTTGAAAACTAAGCAGTTGCCTCCCTTTGACAATAGTTGGAATTATTTCCATGAAAGATTGAAAATATTTTGACATTTATGAAGATGTAACTAGAACACTACTAGTTATCTGGTTTCATATTATGGCCTTGTCTTTTTTGAATTTTCCCTATTTTTCCCCCTGAAAGGCGGATTGGGTTTTTCCCTGTATGAATAGATACATGCAAATTTAATACTGCTTTTATTTTATCTGCCCAAGCTCTATAATTTTTAATTTATGTGACAAATTAAAATTTGCTCTTGATATCCCAAATTGTTATAGTGGAGAGTACTAAAAATGGTACCTGGAAGAGTCTTATTCAGAATGAAAAGCTTCTTTAGTAATTGTGTAGATAAAATGGTGATAAATGTTGAATTTAGGCTTATTAATAATTCTTGAATAGTTATACATTTCTTAGTAGTTGTACATTTCTTAAATAAGTTATAATCTCCCAAAGATTGAAAGTTTTTTAATAAACCTGAAGACATTCAACTGTTGATGAAAATATCTAGTTTCAAACTAATTTTATTCCACCTGTTAGGAATCTTTATAGTGGTTGATAAAATAATAAATTACATACAAGTATTTTAATATTTAGTATTTTTTTCTTCAGATCTGGTGGTTTGTTAATTGGACAATTGGATAAGTTATCATTCTTTGAAAAGTTGCCAAACAACCAGCATAGACTTCATTTACTGCCACTAGAGGGCAGTCTGACTAGTTTACACATCGAGCCGAACACCCGGCATATTCTCGCCAGTTATCGACCGACTGTCCGCCACCCGACGATACGGCATCAGCTGTGTGAATTGATCTCGAGAAATATTAGCACGGAGCCTACTGTGATAGATAATGTTTGTAGTTGTAATGTGATACATACGTTCCACGGGGGTCGTACCCAGACCGTCCTCTCAAAGACAATCGTGCAGCAGCATCCAGCTGATAAGAGCAGGTTACTGGTGTGTGCTGGAGATGAAACTAACAATAGTGTAAGTAGGCGGTGAATTTTTGCATGTAACAGAAGGGGCAAAATAGGCCTTTCTCAATATGACAAGCTGTTGATAATTCTATATTTAGCCGTTAGAAATCACAAAGATTGTGCAGATTTGCTCTAATCAGTTGTATATTTTAGGCAGATTGGATCATGTCATTTTATAAAAAGTACATTTAAAATGTGTATCATCATATGAATAAAAACATGTTTTAATTGCTTAAAAGTTTTTTATGGTTGTTTAATTTTTCAAATTTAAAGTGCTTATGTTGACAGTTACAAAATAAAATTTTGTTGATGGTGTAGGAAGCTACAAGCCTATTGATACATTCACAAATCTGCTCCTAAAACCAACCATTACCAAGTAATGAATATATATGAAGTTTTTTGCTCAAGGAAACAAAGACATTCCCCTGATTGGGTTTGAACCAACACAGAACCAGTAATCCTTAGATTACTATTCTGATATCCTAACCATTTTGCCATGTCGTCACTTATGTTGTTAGCAGGGAAGTTAAAAAAAATCACTGGTAGAAATGAAGTGAATAGTTCTGTCAATCTTTAACCTGAATATTCTGTTGAAATGACAATTAAGTATACCTTGATTGTGTTCTTTTGTAGGAATCATGTCTTTATGTGACCAGTGCTTCCATAGTGCTTAGGACAATTTTTTATTATATACCTAGTAATGCAGATATATTTTACCCTCTCTTTCAGGTCCATCTTTGGGACTCTGCCACAGGTCAGCTATCACAGAGACTTATAACAGGGGGTGTTACTGTAGACATGTGCTCAATGAATATAAACAATACCTCATACCTGGCTGCTTTAACCGATAAACAATTAAAAGTTTATAAATGGACCTGATAAACATAAAATGGTGTGCCTTTTAACAAGGGGGGTAATTGTTGGATATATTAGTGAATGAAACTATATAACAGGGGGAAGTAACTGTTGGATATATTAGTGAATGAGGGAAATTTGTTCAAGGAAATTAAACATTACCTCAGAATACTCTGTAGCTTTAAGAGATAAACAACTTAAAGGTTACGAATGGACTTGATACATTATGTGCTCAATTGTTAATGTCATTTTAACAAGGGAAGTAACTATTGCATATGTTAGTGAGAGTCTGTATTACAGGGGAAGTAACTGATGAATTGTGTGTCCAATTTAAAGTCTACAAATGGACCTAAAAACAAGATTTCATCAGCAGAATAAGAATAACAAACAAGGGAAGTTACTCTAATCAGACTGATAGCAGGGGAAGAAACTGTGGACTATGTTCAATGAACATGGATACCTCCGGCTACAGGAGAGCAATTGAAAGGAGAAATAGACTTGTTGAAAAGCTTTGTAGTCAGACTATTTTCTAAATGAGAATTATAAACTAGGGGAGTAACTGTGAAGAGACTAGCTTAAGAGGGAGAAATATCTTTGAACATGTGTTCCTGGAAAATATTCAGAACTTACAATACTTTGTACTCATACATGTATGCTCTTGTTAAGTGAAAGTGTTAAGAAAGAAAATTGAAAGTGTTCAAGTAGATTTGCTGGAAAAAGAATACAACTTACTGCTTTATTAGCCATATAAGAAATCCAGAGGGCTTTACCTTTGTGTAGTAATATATAGTGGTGTTCGTGACAGAGTGGTTTAGGTCGTTGACTTCAAATCACTTGCCTTTCAGTCTCACTGTTGTGGGTTAAAGTCCCACCAGGAACTTTGGATTATTTCACCCAGCTAGCTTATGGACAGTCATTGGTTCTACTTGGGTGACCATTTATGCCTGAAGTATATACATTATACATGTAAAGTATATACATATATTTTGTATAAAATTGTCAGGTTGGAGGCATGCTTTGTAAATACTGTGTCAAAATTTTTATACCATGGTTCTTTCAGGGAAGTGGGGTCTATTAGTTGATGCATTCATTATAAACTGAACATTTATGATTTAATGAATATATTAGAAAATTTATATTCATTGAATTGAATTGCTACGGTCTACATTGATATTCTATATTCCCAGGGTGTGAAGTGTTCACTTTTAATGGAATGTATTAAAAAAATATTTGTAGTCCATTTTTGGTATGAAAAATGTGTGTGCTTTGATGGAATACATATTTGTATTTCGTTTTAGGTGTGGAAGGTGAACTCTGATGAAATACATATTTGTAGTCCATTTAAGTGTGAAAGGTGCACATTTTGATGGAATACATATTCACAGCATTTAAACGAAATCACTGTACCCTATCGTGGAAGCCTATACAATTCAATAAGGACCCTGTCTTGGGGGTTCAAGCACATGTTACTTCCGATCACTGTACCCTTCTTGGGAGCCTATGTATTTTAATTTGTACCTTTCTTGCAAGGACAGGAAGTAGACTGGTTTATATGCGGTGATATTTGTAGTCCATTTTAAGTGTGAAAGGTTTACATTTTGATGGAATACATATTTGTAGTTCATTTAAGGTGTTAAAGCAGCACGTCTCCAAATTTATAATTTTCTTTTCATGAAAATTTTGAAAATGAAATTAAATGTATATTATTGTTTATTAACCAAAAGGAATCATTTTATACATAATCAGTGGCACTTACAACCCACGTTTATTACAAAAAGAGGTCATAATATGCAAAAAAATGTCCTTACTGCGTTAGTAACGCAGTAGAAATATAGTTACACATAATGAAAAAATCACCATTAATCGATCTTGACATGTAAATTATTACTTGAATCTTGTATCTTTCTACTTTGTACATTTTTCACAAGTTTGAATTACTGAAATATTTTTCGCTCATCTGGAGGCCTGCTGCTTTAAGGTGCACATTTTGATGCAGGACTACATATTTTTAGTCCATTCTTGGTGTGAAGGTGCACATTTTGGTGGAATTCATATTCATCATCCATTTTAGGTGTAAAAGGTATACACTTAGAATAGTAGTCCATTTTTGTCATGAAAGAAGTACACTTTAATGGAAGTTAAAGATTTTTGTTAATGAATGCATGTGCATATTTGATAGGCAGATTTTAATTATCAAACTTATTAGTATTAAATATATGCTCGAACTTTCTTAAACATTGGGTAAATTTAATTAATGTGTTCAGTTCTGTGTGTTCCATGGTGCTCATTTTTTTGGGTGATAACAGTACTTTGATTCTTGTTTGCCAAAGGTATAATTTCATTGATGTAATTTTTAAAGGTTTGTGTTCCTAAAAATGAATTGAAAAATAGTTTTATAGCTACCTCATATGAAATTGCCTGAATTCTAATGGCATAATTATGATTAACTTTTTAGTAGTGTTTAACTTTAAATATCAATATTTACTTATTTGATTCATTAATTACTTATTTCTTTGACTTCAAGTGTGTTCCAGAAATGGCTTACATGTACCACTGCCCAATGCCACTAGTATTCAACTAGACATGCCCTGCAATAATACATTTTGATGGATTGGTGTGAAAGGAACGTAACTCCTTCATTATGTAATATGAGATACAGCTGTTTAGCACTAAACCCTCACTTTGTATGTAACCTGTCCAAGGTTCTATTTGGTGACCTGCCCTGTTTAAGCATTTTGATACCAAAATCCCTTTAATTAATAACGGGCTGCCTTAGACAAAATCCAAGGCCAGTCCATTATAAAAATATAGGGTTAAAACATATTTGTGTGACTAATTTCAATAAATTCATAAAAGTGGCATTTCCAGATTGATAACATTATTATAATATTTACTCATTTAAGAATTATTACATTTGTAAATAAATTTATGAATTTGGGTACCCTTTTAAAACTGCTGACATGCTGTATTACTTTGGAAAGCTTACATATACATGTTTGGTGTTGACTAGATCTATAGGCATTTTTGTTTGTTTTTCATTGGTGCTGTTAGAAAATAAAAATAATCCATAATTTTGTTCTGCCACCCAATCCTGTCGTATATTGTTTAGTAAACTTAACAGGAAATGTGCGGGGAAAAAAATTGGGATCACCGTCTCGTTTTTAGCTCGACTTTTCTATGAAAAGGGGAGCTATCCTACTCGCCCCGGCGTCGGCGTCGGTGTCGGCGTCGGCGTCACACCTTGGTTAAGTTTTTCGTACCACCCCACTTTATTTCAGAAGTATTACAAGTATGGCTTTGAAACTTACCATACTTGTTCACCATCATAACCTCCATCTACAGACAAGAGTACATAACTCTGTCAAGGTTTTTGACAGAATTATGGCCCTTTTTTGACTTAGAAAGTGTATTGAGCTTGGTTAAGTTTTTTGTACCACCTCACTTTATTTCAAAACCATTGGAGGTATTGCTTTGAAACTGACCATACTTGTTTACCATCACGACCTTCATCAACAGACAAGAGGACATAACTCTGTCAAGGTTTTTGACAGAATTATGCCCCTTTTTGACTTAGAAAATACATTGAATATGGGTAAAATCCACTTATTGCCTTAACCCTTTTGAGATATTGCTTTGAAACTTTTAATGCTATTTCACATCATTACCCCCATCTGTACGCAAGAGAAGGTAACTCTGTCAAGGATTTGTTTTAAAAATTAAGGCCTTTTATCGACTTAGAATCTTGGTTAAGTTTTTAGTACCAGTCCACTTTTTGACTGAACTGTTTGAGATATTAATTTGAAAGTTGGAATACTTGTTTACAATCATGATTCCCAAACATGTCCAGGAGAAGGTAATTCTGTCAAAGATTTTATTTGAATTATGGCCCTTAACTGTCAATGTTTTGTATTATAGGCAAGCACTAAAAAACTTAAAAAATCTAAAAAAATTCATTCCTATCCACTTGTTCACTTTACCATAAATTATGTCATATAAACATTGCTGTAAGGGTATCACACAATTCAGTAAAATAATTCTTCACTAAATATCTTAATGCTCATGGCCATTGTTCACTTTAAAAATACAGAGATTCTTGTATTGCCTTTTACTGCAAAAACTTTTTTTATTGGCAAGCAATAAAAAAGTCGAGCGCGCTGTCTTACGGACAGCTCTTGTTGAGTTATCTACCCCTGAATCAGAATTTTCTTATTTTAGGTCTCTTCAAGGGCAGATAACTTTATATTAACATATTTAAATGAATTCTTCTTTTTACTTCTGGATTATATTTTTCTTTTTATTGTTGAGTACAATAGATAACAACATGCAATTCCTTATATCGTTTCTGTTATTTTTTTTTCAATGAAAATAAAGATACTTTAAATTCTTAAAAAATAGGCCATTCTTTAAGAAAAAATGCACAGGTAAAAAGGAAGTGGGGAAAAAAATATCCACTTTAAATTCTTTCTTGAAACTGCATATCGACTTAAACGGAGGTAAGCTTCATGAAAATAGAAAAAAATTGCATTGTTTCCTTCATTGTAAATTATCTGCCCTTGAATTCAACGAAAAAGTCCAATTCAAGAGCATATAACTCGAAAATGAGAACGGTAACCCCTTTATTTTCCGTTTAAAATGTTTCTGTTATCATATTCTAATAACATGCCAAGTTTAAAAAAATTCTATTGAACAGTTTTAATTTTGCCTATATGAAAACTCCCAAAAACGTCCTTAAATATTTTTATGCAGTGCACAGTAAAAAATGGACTTTGATCTTTCTTAATTTGGATTATTAAGAGAGGGTGAAGAAGAGTATGTTATTACATGTACTTGCCAAAATATTTATTGTAAATTCACAGAGGAGACATTGTTGTAAAAAGTAAATATTCCTTGCTTCATATGCAATTTTGTTAGAAGAAATAAATTGTTTTTAATTATACCAGTTGATTGCTTGTCATTGAATACCAGTTAATTGAACTGATTGATATCAGTAAAAAGAGAAATGGAATGAAATTTTGAAAGAAAAAAAATCTAGAAAGGAATTATTAAGTTTTAATTAGTGATCTATGCCAGCATAAAAAAATACCATATCTTTGTGTCAATTTTTAAAGGCACATTATGCCTCAGGATTCCATATTTGTTTATTTCTTAACAATTTCAATCATGTATTAAGTAATGTTTTAATATAAATAATGGATTTAGAGCACGCTAGATGTTTATAAGGTGAAAAAGATGTTTCACAAGTGAAGAAAGTAGTGATCCATGTGCAGTAATGTGTCTTAAAGGGTAGGGAAATGTAAACAAAGTAGTATTTTGACTTCCATACAAAATTATACTAATTTACTAAAATTATACTAATTGTCAACAGGGCAAAAGAAGCAAAAGACAAGTCATTTATACAGCAAATGAGTATTTTCTTGAAACTAACAAGATATGAAAAATTAAAAGGTTTTAAGAAATAGAAGTTATAGCATTTCTGAAACATAATGGGCCTTTAATATATAATTGTTATGTTAACAAGATCTATATAAACAGCTGTTGTAAAGATATAGGAAGTGATATTCATTTTTCCTTCCACTTTATTCAAAAGGGAGAGCTAGAGGTCGCAGGTTCGATACTCGTGCCAGGTTTTATTTTTCTGTGACAAATTATCCTAATAGCTATTTGTCTCACCGCTGATTTCGAAATCATGTGAGATTTAGTGGTCTGCCACTCGCGGAAATATGGGTAATAACTGGCTTGATATCCAGAAAAGCCAGGTTGAAGGCCCGACCGCTGAGATATAACTTAAAATTATATTTAAAGTCCGCGTTAAAACAAGTAAACATTGTAATGTTAAAGTTTAAAATGTAAACTTAATATCAGGTACTTGAAGACATCTTACGTTACATTTGTTTAAAGATTGAATGTGTTATCTGATTACAAATCTATGTGAGCTGGGACATAGTTTAATTTTATCCAATATATGAAATAAAAGTCAACCACGCATTCATGCTGCGCATGCGTCTTTAAGCTACGCCGCTTTATATCACGTGACACAGATGTTTAAAACCGAAAGTAGAGGTATTTTTAAGGAAGTTTAAACAAGTCAACTTTCAAATGGTGATTAAAAATGGGCGCATCATTTAGCTCGGAGGTAGGTTTACATTTAGTTTTCCTTAATATTTTTATTCAAGGATTTGAATAGAACTTTAAATAATCGGGCTCCGACATTCTTGGGCTTGTTGAACACCACCCTGTATGATTTATATAGTGATATACATCTACTACACTTGATACTTGGAACTAGATTATTGTTATCTTAACCTTGATACAGAAAGTAAATATGACTCTTTACCAACTTTAATAATTCGTAACCTTGGTGCAGTAACAGGTTAACTCCTTGTATATTTTATCAGGAGTTAACCCATTCTTGCACTAATATGACGAATTATCATGTGCTCTTTTAGTGTATTGACGATAAATCATGTTTATTGTATATGACAACAAAATCGGGTTTAAAATCGATACATTAAATTGGGAATGATGCTGTATTACAACATTTGCTAGGTTGGGTCCTAACATCCAGTGTGATCTTATTATAGGGTAACCTCGCCAATCCTTAAGTTAAGTTTATTTAAATGATCATTATTGTCATTATATCCAATTTTTCTTGTCAGTAATGATCTAATTATCGTTAAATAATCTCCACTACAAGATTTATTCTATACACTGCATATTTTATGGTTATGTTTATTTTTATCAATAAACAATGTCTATTTAATTGATTGTGTGGGGTTTTCCCCTGTAGACATCGCTCTTATCAGTTGAGTGCCAATGATTAAACTGAAAAAAGTCCTGGAAAATAAATTTTATCAAAAATTTTTTTTAATAAAAAAAATTAAGGCTTACCGACGGAATGGTGCACTCAGTAAACAACGTGACCTCTATTTTTGCGTATGCATAGTCAGATACGTCATCTTATACAGTTGACGTAACGTTGACTTGTATGAGAAATTCATTGCCATTACCAACCGGATTGCATCTCGGAGGTCATCTCCGGAATCGATCTGATGATTGGACCTGCCTCTCCGACCAAATTGACGCAATAAGTTTCTTATGGGGATTTACGATCGGGGATACTTGTTTTTTGAGCATGACCTTGTCTGGTTATACGTGCTGTGTGAGGGCTTGCGTTGTCATTCTGAAAAGTCACATAGCAATTTAAAATATCAAGTATAATTGGTATGGTGTCGCGTCTTTCGTAATCGTACGACTCAATTTGGAACTGTTATGATTTATTTATTATACAGTGTTATATGTAGACAACAGGCATGAATAGGTGTATGACTGCCTTATGTTCATTACCGTTTTGGCAGGAACGCCGTAACGGTTGCTGGCAAGACACGATTACGTTAACGTGATTTCACGCTCAGTAAGTTACGTTGTTGCACGTGCATGAAACGGGCATTATGACGATCTACTACAAATATGATGGTGTTCAACCTATTTAGTATGCTTTGAATAGCCTGTCTGAAGCAGCTTTGTCTGGGATCTTTGCTCGAAACATTTATTTTTTTTTATTTATTTATTTGTTTATGATTTATCATTGTAACATTTCCAGAATTTTCATACTCAACAGTAGGTATGATAAAGTGTGTAGCAATGCCATGCGGTTTGAATGTATTTACAATACATGTATATACATTCTTTCATTTTGCAGGACCCAAGTGAACAAGATCGAAACTTGCGATTTTACAGAAATGAAATCAGATCTAGTCCGTGGCCCGGTAAGATTTGTTCATATTTTGTTTCGTTAATATTTACTCTATTTCTTCCGTTTTATAACCAGCATATAGATAATTTATTATACATTTATTTATTTTAATTTCATCCCTTATAAATTTAACCATTATAATTCCAGCATTCGCATCGCGTGATTTCCAATATTTATCAATATTTTGATCAATTTGCCTGGCCTCGTTTTCATTTTCCGAGTCCAAATAGCACGTATCAAATGTATATTGTACTCTATCTAGCATCGTTTTTATAATCTGAATCCAAATGAAAATATCAAATACATGTTATACACTATTTGATATCGTTTTCTATTTTTTCCAGTTTTCTCCTTAGAAAATAAAGAGTGCATTGTTAAGTGCAATACTGCTTTTATTGGACTCGCAGCTACAAAACCTATATTGGGTTCGAGCTGCGCCTGGTCCAATATAAGTTTTATAACTGTGTACCAATCGAACTCCGCATGGTTCAACAAAATAATTGTAATAACCTCATAACATTATGCTTCTACATTGTAATTGTCCAGATTTTGCTTAATCAGTTGCAATTTTACACTCATTTGCACATGCAATGTACTGTTATATATTTCCCCTTCAACTTTCATCTGCCTGTGATTGTTAATGGTGGTGTTGGTAGTTTTCATTCCGGATCGCGGGGGTAAGTCACGTTGAATTTACCAGAGCACTGTTCAGCCACCGCATCGTCCCTGGGCCGGCTGTCAAGCAATTTACCAGTACAAGTTGTTTTCACTTCCGCAAGGAATTGAAACTTTGGTACATATAGAAAGGATTTCATGACCAATCACTACGAAAGTGACCTGCAACGCCCGGGAATCGAACTTGGGTCAACCGATTCACACTGCAACGTTCTACCTATTGAGCTAACTGGACGGCGTTCATCTGTGCTTGTGTATTTTCTCACTATTTCTATGTGTGATTGTGTATTTTCGCACCATTTTCACATACGGTTATACATTTTCCGCCATTTTCAGGTTCCAAGATTGCCGATATGTTACTTTGGACGGGTAAATACAACAAATTAGAGAGTAACCATAGCTATATTCAATGGTAAGTTCTTTTATAGCCAATTTTGACTGATATTTGCCACATGAACAAATTTCCCCCAATTTTTTTTAAAACCCAATAATACCCCGGGAATAAGAAACCACAAAGCCCCAACGTCTGAAATATTGTTGTTTAATAAATAATATCAAAAATGGGAAAAGGGGGGAAAAAACCCTTTTTTAAACAAGGATTGTTTTTAATTATCCCCTTATTGATAAATAAAATTCATTATAATGTGTTGAAATTTTTACTCTTGGACTTCATGGCAGCGTTTATACATGATTACGATGCACTTTTTTTTTAGGCAGTAAGTAAGGAAAAATAATGTTTTATTTTTTTTCAGGTATTTCCCCAACACCAGAAGGAGTGGTTGATCCCTATGCCAGCCTTTTCCGAGGCATGGGGCAAAAGTGATTTTGTTTGTTAAATTATTCTGATAGTATAAAAGGGGAAATGCCCCGGGCTCCTCGTCATGCTCAACATTCATCTTCTCTGAAACTGCTGGGCTGATTTACTTCAAATATTTGGTCTGTAGCACCCTTGTGACAGTCACACTTCAATTTGCTCATATCATTAAAAAAAAAGAAAAAAAAAGAAAATAAAATACATTGTAATAATAAAAAATAATACAAATTATAGTAAAAAGGCTATAATACCCAACCTATTTTAAAAAGGACATGTTACCCTAACCACAACATATATTTACATATCTGTTAGCCTTATGAAGCAGAACAATATTGAAACCCAAAACTCCAACTGTCTAAAGTCTACAGCAAAAGTCCAAGCAACCACAAACTTCGCTGTTGAAATGCCCAAAATAAATATCATTATTTTCCTTTCACGGATGTTTTTTTCACCAAAAAAACTTCCTTAGAAAATAGTGCACTTGCTTACTTCATGCAGTGCGTAAATACATTTTACAAATAAAAATGTAAATGATTGTACTTAACTTCCCTCTTTTCTGTAGTTTTTAGGATCTATTTAGCAAAAACACCCGACACCCTTACACTTTACACTTCTCAGACTGTGTTCAGTTTTATAAAAAATAATGTTCTGTTATAAGGGTATGCAAGTATTTGCTTGATTGCCCTATATCTATAGCTCAGATGTAGAGGGCGGCTGACTATATGACCGTATATACTGCCTCCAATCGATTCACCGCCTGGGATTCGAACTCTATAGGGTGTGTAGGCTCAAATCCCGTCAGGAACAAACCGTTGTTTCCTATAAATTACACTCATTGCTCAATAACGGATTTTTGTATATATTAATAAACCTATAGCTTCCTGAATTTTGTATTAACTAAGTATGCTATGGTCCGAAGACATTACGCACTTCCTGCAGAGCTAATTAACTTTTACTTTTAAAGGCCATTCGAGATGATGTAGTTGCCAGCGCACGTGTCCTCATGTCATACCGGATGATGCTAGATTTCTACGGCATGAGGCTTGTCGATCCAATTGTAGGGAAGGTAATTAGAAGTGGGAATTGGCAAGAACGGTACAATCACCTAAATAGGTAATATCTCTACAGCAGTTAGAATGTTTGAATACTTGTCCTTGGTGGTACGTTATTTTGAAATTTCATGACGTTGACGCTATTTTATAACGTTGACGTTACTTCATGACGTTACAATGTTGATGCAAATAAATGTACCGTGAATGTTGATAGATATGTGATTTTAGTATGATACTAATAAATGCTGACGTCATGATCATACGCGTCAACGTACTATGTTTGCAGTAGAATGTTTGCTCGTGTTTTATTTAATCATAATTCCAAATGATTCCACCTTCATAGCTGTATAAGATTTAGGGGATATGCAAAACAAGTTGTCTCGTTGTTCTTATAGCCAATGTATTATCTTACAACTTATAAACCATTTTCACGTGTAATTTTAACAGGTGAACGATTTTCACGTGTTTTTCAGATCGACCCATAACTACCGACGAATCACGAGAATAATAAAGTCCCTTGGTGAACTTGGCTATGAGAGATTCCAGTGCCAGTGGATCACTTTCTTACTGGAAGAGTCCATAATTAACCAAGTTCTTCCGAACTTGAACGGACCCTGCATGAAACATTTTATTGCTGCCATTAAAGATGACGTAGAAAAGGAACAAATGTTCAAAAATTATTTCGAACTAGTTAGAAAACCTACGCCTGGACTGTGTGCCAGACCAAGACAAAATGCTGATACAAACAATACAGCAATTCCAGCTGAGAAAAGAACTCACGATAAACACGAACTACATGACGGAAGAGTTCCAAATGGAGGCGGGGATTTTATAGACCAAAAGTTCGATTTTCAAAATGATTCAAATATTCCAAGACAAACAAATGTAACTACAAGTGACAATGAAGGCGCTGTTGATTTTGGACCTGCCGCAGACGACATCGATGGAATCAAGGATATTCCGTATATTGACTGTACATGTAACGGAAGTGGACAGAAAACTGAATGCGTCACACATACTGGGAATGGAAAAGATGACTCCAGCGCTGACGGCGGAACAGATGTGGATTATGGTTCGGCAATAAATGTTAAACTATAATGTTTCCATCATTGACTGTGATAAAAATTGATATATGTGCAATGAAATAAAATATTTAATAAAGACAAGTAGATCCAGAGAAACGATGTTCTTGTTACGGTTTCTTGATTTCAGTAAATCAGGACAAACGCTTGGTAGACGTGAAGCTTTTCCTTGCGTTTTTCAAGTCAGGTTACGTACAAGTTTACGAATTTGTAATGGTAACAATTCATTACTTCACAGACTTACCAAAAATGTTTCAGGATTTCGTCTTACAGGACGGTATATTCCAGCTCCATGTGTAATAATGGGGCAACATATTATTTAAAAAGTTGTTTTTATCCTCATGTTTTAAGGTCATTTACACATTAATCTAGTTTAAAGAAATACGACGCTAGTGGACACTTTCCATGGTGAATATTACGTTTTTTCTTGAAATAAATGATAAATAAATGTCGAGAGATAGACTTCTTGCACGATAATGTTATTCATGTTAAAATGACAAGCGTTCAGAAACTTAAAAAATATTTATAGTTTAAAAGAACTCAACTGAGGTCCAAAACCTTAAAAATATTGAATTTTGAATTTCTTTCATATACATAGTATCAACTTGGACACTTGACACTTAAAACAGAAAGGTATGGAAAAAGATATTTAGAAATAATTTGAAAATCATATTTTTGTGTTATTCTTAGCCAGATTTTAGTGAAAAGCGTTGAGTTGAACAACACTTTTCAAGTTTGGGCCATTTACTTTGAATATTTAATCTGAAAAATCTCGAAAAAAAAATGTTTTCATTCCCGTCATGTGAAGAACCTCAGTGGAGTCTCTTTAAGAAAGTAACAGATACAGTTCACGTGCAGCTAAGACAGAATTTGAGCCGCGTGATGACAAAACCAACATAATGGGTTTGCGACTAGCATGGATCCAGACCAGCCTGCGCATCCGCGCAGTCTGATCAGGATTCATGCTGTTCGCTGATAAACTCTATAACAAGTGGGAGATACTGACAGCGAACAACATGGATCATGTTTAGACTGCGCAGATGCGCAGGCTGGTCTGGATCCATGCTGGTCTCAAACGCATTACGTTGGTTTTGTCATGACGCGGCTCATTTAATGTTTATAACATCATCTTTCTGCCATGTTACTGATATAGAATAAAGGCAATTTCTGCATATTTTTTTCACCTTATATAGATAATATATAATTATGTTGATATTATAAGTACCATGTGCTATGAGTGATCACTTGATTATAGTACAGGTAATATTCATTGCAACATTATTTCACATAAAATCTTCTTTAAAAAAATTAGCAAATATTGAGGCATGCTGCTTTAAAAGTGTATAAAAATTATTCCTGTCGAAATTAATCTATGACACGAAACAAAATAAGGACAGGGTTTTTTTTTACATTCTTCCTTGATTGTTTATTCCTTGATTGTTTTATTACTTTATTTTTAGTAAAACTTATATTTGTTAAGTTTTTGTAATAAAATAATGCACATATCTGTACATAAACAGAATATTAAACTATTTTATATGACTAGATGACCTATTGTTTTGAGTTGCTTACTTTGAAATAATTGACCATTGAATCTCGCAAAAGATGCATCTTTCCTTTGAGTTTGAATCCCTCAAAGGAATATGTTAGCTACTTTCACGAGTTGAATCAATCCAACTTGCTAGCTTCCAGGGAGTACGAGGTCCTTTACAGAAATCGGCTACATTTTCTCCTCAGTTCCTCCTTCCCTCCTTACCACGGCTTTATTTTCTAATTTACCATAATTGCGACATAAAACTGTGTATATAACGTTTTCAGTCACGTATACATAGTGTCGAAAAGTTAAACGCTTCAATTTGTTTTGTAAGTTTAACAATTCATCATGAAAATGTCAATATATCATCATTAATTGTGCATTGCATTTTAAACGTGCCTTACAAAATAATTTGTCCATAAAAATTTGGGAAATGTGTTTGTTTCTGTTTTTGTGTATCATTATTGCAGTTGAAGAGGAAATAGCCGCGTATGCGCAACTTAATGTTCTTTTGGGCTGCAACACCCTACTCTTTTCTACAGATAAAACCAGTACATGAATCTAACAGATTCTGTAATTTCCTAAGAGTTTGAAAAGTATTTCTAATTTAGCAGTGGAAATATTAAATTAAAGAGCTCTACTGAAGTCTGGAAATGCCTTAAATACAACGTTACATAAAATATGAAAAGCTTGACAGAGATCAACTAGGGCACTTGAAATATACTAAATAGTCTCAGAATTCAAATGAGTAAAGATATTCAGTGCAATTTTTGGTAAGATTTGAGTGTAATGCGTTTTTATTACATATTTTTCTTTATAAATTTAGGACATTTTTCACAATAAAAATGATCGATACAGTAATTATGAAAAATTCGATTTTATTATACTAAATTTAATTGTCTGAGAATTCAAATGAAAATAGATATTCAGTGCAATTCTTAGCCTGCATTGAGTTTACTAGTGATGCATTTACACACTTTTTATGTTTAAGACATATTTTGCGAAATAAAAATGATAATACTGAAAATTCCAATTGAGCAACTCTCACCTGCAAGTCTATTTGGCAAGCAAAAGCCCAAGCTTATTGTAAATATAGTAGTTATAAATAAAACGGTATTAGTATAATTTATTTTGTAAACATATCTAAAAAAGCCACATCAGATATACGTTTAAATAAGTAAAATTTACGCGAACAGCAACACTTTGCAACTTCCGTATAATGTCACGTGAGAGGGACGGCGTCAGACATTAATTAGCATAAACAATCGTTTATAAATAGAAAACCTGCAGTATTTAGAGCTTCCAATAAGTTTACCTGTTTTAATGCTATTGAAGGAAGAGTCAGTGTTTGGCATAATTATATTCATGCGCTTATTTGGATAGAGTCATGTAGAACTGAAAAAGGAATGGGAAATTTAAAGTCAAAGAGCAAGGTGAGAAAAAAGTTTAAAGCAAATTCGAGGTATAAAATTTTTCAGATGTTGAATGTGTCTTTCTTTGGCAGTCTGTATCAAGGTCTTACGTGAGTAAATATTTCTTGAATTGTCAAAAATACACATGTGCTTGCAAATTAATTTTGTTATTGCTTTTTTGGTACGTCTACACTCGCACACCAAAATCATTTTGAAAACGAAAGTTGACAGATGGTTGACAAAGTTGGCTAGAGTTATCTCTCTTTCTACTTTCGGTTTTAAAAGCGGAAGTAGATTAATCACAACAAACAATTAACTTTGAAATGTTGGTTATTTCTGCTAAAACTTTCATAATGCTAAGTGACAGGATGCGATGTTATTAAATATGCCACCAAAACAACCCACTTATGTCAGACCTACAATAGCAAGTGCTTCTAGGGCTTCTTTTAATGATGAAAAAAAGAGAATAGATAAGGTCGAAAAGGAAAATACAGTTCGCAGAAGGACGACTTTGTTGAAAATAGATCTTAAACATGAAAATAATCATGTTTTTCAACGGGAGACATATGATGATGAAAAAAATCAATGGACTTGTAAAGACACCAATGAAACTGTCAGTGGGACAGTAACCAAAACTGGCAAAAATGTGACATCTTCAACACAAACCCCTTCAACACAAAGGGTAAATACATATTTAAGGTGTATTCTGTTCCCGCCATAGACGGTCATTGATCAGACCCTGAGCTAATATTGTTCTGCTCTTATTTTTTTTTCCTCAATGAAACATTTGGACACAAGTGGGAAAAGTCATCTACTTAATTGGTTTCACTAGTTTAGAAGAGGCAGTGTCTAGCCATATCGGGATGGGCTCTTATTGCTAGCCAAAATTCCTATTAACTATATGTGACTCACATACTACAAGCCTGTTATGCACTGTTAAGGCCAGCCAGCTAGCTGTCTGTGTTTTCCCCTTTCCAGATTTGAGTTAAGAGAAAAAAATTAATATGTATATTTTATTTATCACCTTCCATTTTAGAAAGAGGGAAAAGAAAGTTCAGTTGACCCTGCCAAATATGGGGCAACTGGTGGAACTTCTAAAGGATCTGGACAAAGCAGAGAAGTTTCAACCAAAGCAGGGACAAGGGATAGCTACGGAAGAAATGTTTCATTATTTAGTCATGAGGTATTTTAAAATGTCATGTGCTCATGTCTCAAACAGTATTCACATAGTATACTTTTTTGAGTTAAGAAGGCAATTTAAACTTGTTGCCCAGGTTACAAAAGGTCTAACTCTTGACTTGCTTGAAAGGAAAGTGTAAGCCTTTCTTTGCCACCAGTATAGAGCCACCATGCCAGACTGCACCATGTGGAAGCTCAATTTTTGTACATGTATTTTTATATTGAAATCATTTTAAATTTGAATGGATTGATACTTTCTATTAGATCTAGAACATTATTCAGAGGCACCAATAAATTGATGTAAAATTCTTCCCATAAATTGATGAAATCTGCTTATCCATAAACATAAATAATATTGATGTAAAAAAATTGTGTAATTTTATATTAATATAAAATTCTTTCCATGAATTTATATAAAGTTCTTTCTTGCATAGCAGACTGGCGTTTCCGTGAGTTTTACCCATGCCGGAAATTTCATCTGGCATGGGGGTGCCAGATGAGTCGCGTGCCAAACAACAAGGTCATTTTAGCGCCATTTATGAATGAACCGCGTTAAAATGACGTCGTTTTAGAAGGGAAATATGTCTTAGGATGACGTCATTTCGCCGTTGTTATTTAAGTTGTAAGTTCATACGCTAATGTAAGAAAATAGTTATGGATGAAATGACTTTAATTTCCATGAACATATATCATATTGAGGTAAACCATTTTAAATATGAAATAATGTATGGCAGAATATGCAAGAAAAAATATCTTTCATATGTTTGCGGTTCGGATCGGAATATCCGTCCCTCGGGAACCCGCCCATGGGCGGTAACTCGGCAAGCCTCATTACCGCCCAATGGGCGGGTCCCCTCGGGATGGATATTCCGGTCCGAACGGAAACATATGACAGATATTATTATTCCATAAATTGATGTAAAATTCTTCCCATCAATTGATAAAATTACATGTATTTCCATATATTGATGAAAAGTTCTTTGCAAAGTTATTTTCATAAAATGTTAATTTTTTTTCTATATATTTATGTAAAGTTCTTTGCATACCGGTATTTTGATTTAAAGTTATTTCCATAATTTGATGTTATTTATTTATTTCCATATATTGATGTAAAAGTCTTTCCATAAACTGATGCAAAATATCTTTCCATAACGTGATGTAAAATTATTTCTATATATTGATGTAAATATTTAACTTCAGAAACCACTGTCTTATGGTGCTGAGCCATATGGATACAAAGTGGTATGTATATTATGTATTTACAATACATGTAATTGTATGTTCAATTTTCTTTGCCACAAATGAATAAGTGAGGTTACCTGTTAATTATAAAGAATGGTCAGATACATAAAAAGTGTATAGAAGTTTATAGTTTGATTGTGTAGGAAGCTTATAATAAGCTTATAGACACACTGGAACCAACCAGTACTGAGCAATCAGTGTAGTTTCTTGCTCAAGGAAACAATGGCCTGCCCCTGATGGGGTTTGAACCCATGTGGCTAGCTATCATTTGAATACTATAGTCTGATGTGTTAACCACTCGGCCATGCCACCTCTTAGGTATAGTTTAGAAAAGCCATCATGTAGTATTCAAAGAAAGACTAGCTTAGTCTGTGAAGGCAAAAATCTGCATACAAAATTGAGGTTAGCTATTGTTCTCAGCCAGGCATCAGCATCACTACGGTTAAGTTTTTGTGTGTAAATTGATCTCTCCAAAACTAATGAAGACAAATATGTTGAAACTACTACACTTATTTGACAGCAGAATAGAATCTCACTACCAAAGGCTCATAACTCTGACATGGCTTTTGCTAGAATGATAACCCATTTTGAACCCATTTTGAACTTAAAAAAGTTCTACATTATCCAGGCTCTTGTTTTACTATCGAGCACTGAGAATAGTCAAGCACACTGTCATACTGACAACTATTGTTACAACAGTAACTATTTTTGGCACAGTTGTTTTGATTGGGAATTTGCTCAACATGTTGGTAAAAGAATCCATTTTCATTTGGTTTATGAAAATGTCTTAATTTTATATTAAATTTAATTTAGTTATCACCTGCTGAAGCAAGACATTACCGTGACAATGTGGACTTCTATAAGAATGTAATCCGCTCAAAACCACTTCCAGGTTAGTTCTTAATTCATATTTCTATTCCCGTGTTGTTACAAGTTTAAACATTTAGATATTATATATTAATCTGTCTTTGGCCCAAAATTTATGCATTGAAATAACATTACTTGACTATAACAATCAAAAGTTACACCTTAATAATGAGTATAAACTTTAATTACTTTTGTCTCTACAGTATGCTTGTAGTTGTTAAACACACTATGTTATCTTATTTTCATTATGTCTTTTTTCCTGTGTTTCAATGAAACAAGTTGTATAAGGCTGTACTTTTTGTGATTTGTTATTAAATCTTAGCCTATGCATAAAATAAAACAATTATTGACTAGTGAGTCATTGAATATGATGTGATATTCACCTACAGAAAATCATATTAAATTTGGTCAATATGTCATCTGCCAGTGAATAACACATCATATTCAATAGCTCACTTGTCAATAATTGTATATCAATTTAACAGATTATTTTTAATGTATTTAATGATAAAATGTTGTTTTTATTCACCTTTTTAAGGACACACAATTGAAGACATGTTGAAGTGGAAAGGAAATTATGAAATGCTTGAAAGGAACCATAGCTACATTCAGTGGTAAAATGCCTTTAGTTAAAAGCTACCTTCAGCTTTTCGAAAAATTGTTATTTTTAGATAAAATCATTTCATATAATTGTCAATTAAAAGAATTAACTTTAAGGTGGAAATGAAATTTGCTGACGATTCAATACATATACAATAAGGAAACCCCTTGATACCTATAATTCACTGGCCAATTCCCTATATTTAAATAAGTAAAGTTGATTATTCGTTTCCTCGATCTTCTATTTTTAGAAATTAATGTCACACATTCCAAATAGCTCTCAAGACGCTGTTTTGAAGAAGGCTTAACAGTTAAATATTGCACTTTTCCAAAATAAAGTTACTGAAATACTTAGTTTGAAACAATACATAATTATTTTTCCAACAGAAAATAAAAGCTGAAAGCCGCTTTAAAGAAATACAAAAGTGAACATAACTATTTTTTCAGAATTACAAAATATCTCACTTTAGTATAGCTAAGGATTGTTCAAAAATATGATATCAATTGAGAATGATCTCTAGTTACTTCCCCTGGCTTTTCCTTCTCGTAATGCAATGGAAATGATATAATATATGGGATATTGTACTTGATACTGATAGGGTGACCTTGATTTATAGTGAATATGAAAAACATTTTGTCAAACAATATACAGTCATATAGAGAAGAAATTTGGACAGTTTTGGTGTATGAGAATGAAACAATTGCATGCCAGAATAACTGCTAATTTACTCTGGAAAAAAGTTATTTTTGCTATTTTTATATGAAACAGGTTGTTTCCTATACCAGAGAGTAATGGTTTGAACATGTATGCCCAGCAGCTTTTTGAACATGAAGCAAAGGTAAGTGTGAAATTATTTAAGGTATATTGTAAAAGAAATGACAAGTATTATGATCATACACATGTTAAAAACATGTACGTCATAAGTATATAAGGTAGTTTTAAACTTGCCAGAAATGCCAAATAATTTTTTCCCAGTTTATGATGGGAGGCCTTTTTCAAAAATAGCTGGAAAGGTCCTGCTATGGATATTAAGTGCCTTATAAGCTATATACTAGTATGTGTAACCCTGACTTACACCACGGGGGGGGGGGGAGTCACTGTTTGGGTATGTGGGGGTCTTGTTCTTGGCAAGAATTTACCTGAATTTTTCGCTATTCCCCATGGTTAACTAGTTCATTAGGTAAGCTAAAAGCGTTTTATTTTTATTATTCTATTCAGTACTTTACTTGTACTATTTTGAATACTTTTAAAATTTTCAAAAAATTTGCATGACCCTCAAGATGCATTGCTTGGAAGTTATATTTTTTATTATGATATTTGAAAACTGTGCTTTTAATAATAGGCTATCAGAGAAGATGATGGGGCACAGAAGCGAGTTTTAAGGGCTTATAAAATGATGCTGGACTTCTATGGAATGAAGTTAAAAGACAATATTTATGGACTGGTGGCGAGATCAGATAAAGGCTGGCAAGATAGATATGAGCATCTTAACAGGTAACCTGAATTGTGGTCAATATACCCATAGGACTGAGTAAGACCATAGAATACATGTATGATATAATGCGATATTCACCGAGGCCAAAGGTCTTTTCCTGTTTCAAGCATTTGATCTCTTTCAGAAGCATGTACATGTTCATAAGGAAGAACAGCAGAATGCCATTATCAATTTGCTTCAAATAAAAAAAGGTTAAATTTAAAGCAATGTTTAATGAGATTGTTTTTGATTAATATCACCTTGTCAATATCACATTTTTGTGACCGTCTGCCGCAACACGGGGAAATTGGTAGTCATATATTTTTTATCTACATGTATTATGAATAATGTTCTTCATATCAATTCATTAATCATTTTTATGCCCCGCCATAAAATGGGCGGGGGCATATAGTGTTACCATGATCCGTCATTCCCTCATCATCAAATTCTATTCATTATCTCGGCAACAGTTGCACACATTATTTCAAATTTGACATATGGATATATCATAGGAATATGCGGTTCAAGTTCGAATTTGATCAGGTTCCATGATTTTTGATAGAGTTATGCCCCTTTAAGAAATTTTTCAGTTTCTGTTCATTATCTACCCAACAGTTGTACACATTCAACTCAAATTAAACATATGGATATGTCATAGAAATACGCAAGTTGGAATTTGGTCATGGTTCGATTATTTTGGACAAAGTTATTCCTCTTGAATGTTTCCCGATCTTTCTTTTGTAGAAACCTCTGTATTAGGTTGAAATCAAATGTGCAGATATATTACCAGAAAATTCAAGTTCAGGTCAAATTTGGTTTTGGTCTGATTATTTTTGACAGAGTTATCCTTCTTGAACTTAGAAAAAAATAAGATTTTTTTTAGTTTCTGCTTTTGTAGCAATGTACACATGTATGTCCAAGGGTGACACTGCATGTGCTGGTATTTTGCCAGAAAATACAAGTCAAGTTCTAATTTGGTAATGGTCAGATGTTTTTAAACTTAAAATACTTAAAAGTTCACAATTTCTAATCATTATCTCGGCTACAAATATGTAACTATGCAATTTGCAAAAGGGAAACACTGAAAATTTTCAGGCCCTTGACCTTTGTATAAAAAGGGTTTGTGTTAACATTGAATAGTTTAAGGGCCTTAAACTTAAAATGGTTTGTGCAAACTTTGGAATTAAATAGCATTTGAAAATTTGTTTGCATACGGGGTATTTGTGGCGTTAAACATATTTCTCTTTATTTTCTATGACGTCTTTCCAGTTTTGATATATTTTACATTGCAAACTTTACTAGTTGTTTTAATTTAGGTACCTTTGTGAATGTTTTAACTATTACTTCATTAATTTTGACTTATAAATAATTGACATAAAAGAACTGTAACTATTTTTTTCACAGGTCACGGCACAATCTGTTACGTGTAACGAGAATTTTGAAGTCATTAGGCGAACTTGGTTACGAACGCTTTCAAGCTCGTTGGGTTGAATTTTTAATCGATGAGGCAGTGATAAACAGAGTACTACCGAATCTCAATGGTCCATGTCTAATGCACTGGGTTATGGCGGTAAAAGATGACGGGGAGCGAGAAATGTTGTACAGGAAGGCTAACGGTTTAGACATAGATGAACATAATACTCAGTATGGTTCAGATTCTGAATCTGGAAGCGGAGATGATGAGATTGAAGAAAAGTTAAAATATGATAGACCAAATATTTCAGCTGAACCTGATTTGTCTGAGCTAAATCTTGACAATAATGGAATTGATCAGAAAGGTGCTCAGCAAAATAAACATTCTGGTGACCAAAAAATTAATATGCAGACAGATAAGGCTGTTAATTCTATGATTACCAGTCCTCTATCGAAACCACAAATGGTAAAACCTAACGATATTTCTTTGAGAGATCAATCAAAACTATTTAAAGATGATAAAACATCAGTTGATGCTAAAGCAGCAAACAGTTCTTCTTCTCTTGGTGTAAAGCCTAAGACAGAAAAGCAGAACAAACAGCAAGCAAGGGATGAAACTGATAAAAGATCAATTGATGATGCCACTCTTCATGATAAGGTAATTGTATTACGTATACAGTATAATACATTTTATGTTTGTTTCACATGCTTTATTCTTATTATCACAATGTTCACCAGTCCACCAAAACATACTATTAACAATATAAATATCAGTTTTTAGAAAAAAAACTTTAAAATTACCTCCGTTTTATAAGATCCATCATTTGTACTAAGTATTCAAAATTAAGTAAAATGGAAACATAAGTTAACAAATCTTTGTAAAACAATAAGGAAAATTACTTCTTAAAAATTAAATTTGGTAATTTTGAGCATAATTTTTAGCTCACCTGTCACAAAGTGACAGGGTGAGCTTTTGTGATCGCTTTTCGTCCGGCGTCCGTCCGTCCGTCGTCCGTCGTCCGTAAACTTTTACTTTAAATGACATCTCCTCATAAACCACTAAGCCAATTTCATCCAAACTTCACAGGAATGTTCCATTGGTGGTCACCTTTAAAAATTGTTCAAAGAATTTAATTCCATGCAGAACTCTGGTTGCCATGGCAACCAAAAGAAAAAATTTAAAATATCTTCTTCTAAAAAACCCAAAGAGCTAGAGCTTAGATTTTTGGCATGAAACATCTTCTGGGGTGAGTGTCTACCAAGTTTGTTCAAATAAAAGCCCTTGGGTCAAAATTGGCCCCGCCCCAGGGGGTAATTGATTTTCCCTATATGCATTTAGTAAAAACTTAAAAAATCTTCTTTTAAAGAACCTGAAGAGCTAGAGCTAAGATATTAAGCATGAAACACCTTCTAATGGGTGTCTAGCAAGTTTGTTCAAATAAAATCCCTAGGGTCAAAATTGGCCCTGCCCCAGGGGGGTCATTGATTTTCCCTATATGCATATAGTAAAAACTTAAAAAATCTTCTTTTAAAGAACCAAAAGAGCTAGAGCTAAGATATTTAGCATGAAACATCTTCTAATGGATGTCTACCAAGTTTGTTCAAATAAAAGCCCTGGGGTTAAAATTGGCCCCGCCCCAGGGGGTCATTGATTTTCCCTTTATACATTATAGTAAAAACTTAAAAAATCTTCTTTTAAAGAACCCAAAGAGCTAGAGCTAAGATATTTAGCATGAAACATCTTCAAATGGGTGTCTACCAAGTTTGTTCAAATAAAAGCGCTGGGGTCAAAATTGACCCCGCCCCAGGGGGTCATTGATTTTCCCTATATGCATATAGTAAAAATTTAAAAAATCTTCTTTTAAAGAACCAAAAGAGCTAGAGCTAAGATATTTAGCATGAAACATCTTCTAATTGGTGTCTACCAAGTTTGTTCAAATAAAAGCCCTGGGGTCAAAATTGGCCCCGCCCCAGGGGGTCATTGATTTTCCCTATATGCATATAGTAAAAACTTAAAAAATCTTCTTTTAAAGAACCAAAAGAGCTAGAGCTAAGATATTTAGCATGAAACATCTTCTAATGGATGTCTACCAAGTTTGTTCAAATAAAAGCCCTGGGGTTAAAATTGGCCCTGCCCCGGAGGTCATTCATTTTCCCTTTATGTGTAAAACTACAGCAAAAATTGAAAAATCTTCTTTGAAAAAACTCAAATAGCAAGAGTTTAGATATTAAGCATGAAGCATCTTCTAGTGAGTGTCTTCAAAGTTTGTTCAAATAGAAGCCCTGGGGTCAAAACTGGCCCTGCCCCAGGTGTGTCATTGTTTTTTACTATATGTGTAAAGAAAAAACTTAAAAAAATCTTCTTTTAAAAATCCCAACGAGCTAGACCTTAGATGTTTAGCATGAAACATCTTCTAATGGTTGTCTACAAAGTTTGTTCAAATAAAAGCCCCGGGCTTTTAACTGGCCTTGCTCCGGAGGCCTATGTACAGGTGAGCGACTTCAGGGCCATCATGGCCCTCTTGTTTTATGTTCTACTGTACTTGACATGCATCCTTAGATTGCAATTCTTAGTACTTGTAACATACTTTAGATGAAATGACCAAATGAAATTTAACAATGTCATAATAATATAATGTCATATGGTCATGTGGTATATTAATTCAATAAATGTGCTCTCTTTACTTTATTTACTAGGTTACTGAAGGAACTGATTTACCAAGTGACAACTTGAAATTTTATAGAAATGAGATATTATCAAGACCTGCAAGTGGTAAGTGCTTTACACAAGTTTGGGCTTTGTGAAATATGTTTATTTGTTTGTATTTGTCACACCGTCACTGTAAAGGTTATATGGCCACTTTCCAGCTAATTGGTGGCAATTTACCTCAGGTGCCCCTCAGTGTATTATTTCAGATAGAGGTGGGCACCTGAATGTAAACCACTGACATTCCCTAAGCAAGCTGTATAGTTTCTTCTTAGAAAGAATGCAATGTCTGCAATTGTATTCAAAGCCACAGCAGTGATGGACAAGTGATTTGAAGTCGGCAACCTATTCAACTGGGGCACAGACAAAAGGAAGAAATGTCATTGAAATATATTCTTTGGCCAATATTTTTGTCCTTGGTTAAGTTGGTAATGGCAGGGGGATGCTGTTGTTGTCATGTTTGTCTACAGTTCCAAAACAGTTCACTTATCTTAAAAGCAATTTCTTTATATGTTAAACTACAGCTTTAAGGAAAATTGGTTTAAACATATTTATTTTTACAAGTTCTTGCAACTTATATTAATCACTTTAGAGTCCGCTTCCTGGAACCAACCAGTACTGATGCCATATGAAGAAACATGGTCATTACCCGAGTAGGGCTCGAACCCATGATTAAGGAATATTGATGATGTAATACTTGAACCTACCTTGTAGATTATAGATTAGACTTACAGAAACTAAAAGAAATCATTTTGCCACATCAACAATTTGGAAAAGATAATTAATTTTCATTTTGCAATTTTACAGAAATGTGCTCTGTATTTTTTAAAATAGATTTCTAATTGAGACCTAAAGAACTTTGGTTTGAATTTATATAATTATACATTAATTTTACTTGTTTCACTTGATTTTCTTGATTAACATTTTGTACAAAAAGAGAGAAGTGAGAAAAAAGCATCTTACCTTAGAAGACTTGTAAATATCTTTTCAGCTCAAATGTGTGATTGATGTGTTGAAACTCGAGTTTTAATGCAGAATTTTTTATACACTTTTTGTAAATAAATAAAAACTAGAATAATATTGCAAAATCTTTAAGAAAAAAGAAAAGAAAAACTATTCTCATTTATAAGTAGATGTTACCATAGTAAAAACTGTGAAATATACATTTACTTTTTTGTTTTTAGGTTTTAACATTAAGACTATGCTGAAATATAAAGGCGAGTATGACTTCTTTGATGAAAAATATCCAGAATTCATTCAATGGTATGTTCATTTTTGTAGTGATTTTCTTGTCATAAAAACATGTACATCATGACCTTGATAAGAAATATTATCCTATTTCTCCTTTTTGGTATAAAAATATATTTACGTATATATAAGATGAAACAAATGATGGCAGTGGAATAGGATGAATCAATGTAGATTTATCCCTGTTTGTATTAGTACAAAAGTGTTCAGTGGAAAAAAGTATCTTGCATAAACAAATTCATGAAATTGGCTTGAAGGTCAAGGTTGCTATGTCTAAAAGAAATAAAGGTTTCTTTTCAATACAATAATAATAGATATGATCAGATATTAAAGTGTCATTTGTTTAAAGTTATGTAGTTATAATTATGTAGATTGAACCACAAGAAATTATTTTTTGGGGAGATTCCATTTATTGTCATGGTAAGGTCAAGGTTATTGTTGCTTAAGTTAGAAAAGTATAAGTAGCTTAGGTAACCTTTGAACTTTGATCAACATTTCAAGATAGTGTGTTGCTGTAATTGATAAGAACTATGTTAGCAGTGCTGTCCGTCTTAAAAGTTTTATACTCATAGTCTTGCATATAGATATATAATTAAACAATTATTGACTAACTTTAGCCTCAGTCATTATGGCATTCTGCTGCTGAATATTATCATATTTAATGGCAAGGCAATTATTGTTTAATATGTGACATTTGATAAGAATAGAAAATATCTACCTATATTTTTACTGGTTTAATGTTGTTTTTTTAAGGTTATTTCCAGTTCCTGATTCTGTAGGAAGAAACAGGGAAGCCCAGCCACTTTATGAACATGAAGCAAAGGTATGTTCTTGATGGCATAATTACATGTCTCTTTTGCTGAATAATTTGCATCCATGGAAATGAAGGCATAGGTTGGTGGGTAGTGATGGAAGATTATGACCATTGCTGTATATTTACAGCCATGGAATCTGCTTAAGCTGATGCCTCGGAGGGGCGTCAATGGCAGATTGGAAAAGATGGTTGACTTGAAACCACTTGCTTCTCACTGTTAAAGGTTTGGGTCAAGCAAGCATATTGGGATTCTTTCAGTTGAGAAAACCATCTAGCTAGCTTACAGAACATTGTTGGTTGTACTCAGGTGCCCATTTGTGCCAGAAATCTATACTGTGTTGGTGCAATATAAAACCAGATTTTAAAAAAAGATGCCCGGGAGCTTGTATGCGGCTTTTATACAGACAAAATCCAATGTTGGAATGTGCAGCATTTTGGGTTTTGATGTGCTATTGTAGGTTTTCCCTTTGCTTATATTAGGATTTACTTTATGTTTTAAAATGATGTGCATATTATGTCTGTAAGTCAAATTGACTGTATACCTTTTTAATAACATGAAAAACAAGTAATGTGCATGCATAAGTTAGGTCTTTCAACATATCATGTTGAATAATAATTTCTTTTAAAGTTTTGACGGGTAAAATATATCTTTAACTATCTGATATTTATATACATTTAACTTTTAGATCAATGATTATTTCTATAGAAAAATTCTACTCAAACTATGATTGATAATTACATCTGAGTATCTAGAATTTTAATTAAAAAAAGAAATGTATACAAGAAGTGTCTCTTTTATTTTTCTTCAGGAAATAAGATGTGATGATAAATTACGTGAACGTGTTCTGAAAGCATTTAAAATGATGTTGGACTATTTCGGGATGACCCTTGATGCGGATTGTGTCGGAATATTTGGAAGGTCAAAGAATTATAAGGAAAGATATGATTATTTGCAAAGGTATTAAAAAATCATCTATTTGTACAAAATATTCTATGAAAGGTCCATCCTTTGTCCAACTTATAAAATATTTGTCAGGTTTTACATCAGTCTGTACTTCTGATACATCAGAAAATTTTTCATTGTTGTTGTTATTTTGGTCACTCATACCAAGGATTTATATATATATAAATCTGTGCTCATACATAAGGTTAAATACTAGGTTAAATACCTCGAAAACATCAAATGCTAAATCAAAATGCTCAAAACTTCACAATTTCTAAATATCTGCAGCACAAACAAGAAAAACCCTCCCATGTTGCAGAATCATAACTGGCTAAATGTTTTAGAAAAAACAAAGTAGAAATGTTATAAAAACACTATGCACTAAATGTAATCAAACAAAGTTGGGATGCTATAATTCACTGTGTAAGGTACCTATAGCATACTGCTCACAATGAAGAAATGAAGATCTTTTTTTTTCGTTTGCTTTGTTTTTCTTTTGTTTTTGTTTGTTGTTTTTTTTATTATCTAGAATGAATGAAGCAGATATTGCCTTTTACTTAGTTTGTAAAAAATAAATGAAATAAGTTTGATTTTTTGTTAAAAATAGTTATTTTAGTACTTAGATATATGAATGTGTCTATATTTTGTAGAAATTGAATTACATTATGTAATTGACTTATATAATGAGGAAATTTACTTTAGTAATTGTAAATGTTTCATAACATAGGTGCTATTTCATACTTAATTGTGTTTTGATAACTTGTCGATTTGCCAACAGAAGCACACAAAAAATCGACAGACTGGAACCCAGGCTAGCTGCCAGCAGTGTAAAGTTTAATTTCAAATATTCAGAATTTTCTTTTACTAGGTACCCAATCAGTTACTACAGAATCACGCGAATCATCAAATCGATAGGAGAACTGGGCTTTGACAGATTTCAAGTACCATGGATAGATTTTCTGATCGAAGAGGGAATTGACAAAGCAATGTTTCCAACACTAAATGGACCGTGTATACAACATTGGATTAATGCTATAAAAGACGATGGAGAAAAGCATGCTATGGTTGTGAAGCATAAAGATAAACTTGATCTTAAAGCAGTTGATGATAGAGGAGAAGAAATGGATGTCTGTTGGGATGATGAAGAAACGAATGCCGGGCGAATCTCCCCACTTTTCTATTGTGCTGATTGTGCTTCATCGTCAAAAGCTAGGTGGATACCCTGATAGAAAAACATTTAATATTAAAGACATACTATGCTCAATTTCGATAATAGAAAATATTGGTAAATGCTACACTGTCCCTTTGTATATATAAGATAAACATATTTTGACTTCACATAAAGCAGTTACTAGTATGTTGTGTTTAAAATTCTACACTCTGTAGGTGGTCACAATATGAATATATAGTGTTATTTAAAAAACTGACAAATCCAATTAGAATTTCGTGGACTTCAGTAAGTTTCTGTGATTCAAATATTTTACTCAAGATGAGCATAGTATATCTTTAATCTTAAAAGGACAAAGTCTGTGTATGAGATTGTAAGGTTATGAGCTGATTCCTTTGACCTTATTAACTGTTTTTCATTATACTTGAAGAGTACTAGTAGTTGAAATACAACTTTTTCCATCACTGTTGTCATTATTTGACATGTGTCTCACATTAAAAAGTGTTACAAAGCAAATTTTCAACAGTCATTGAAGTTTTTTGAAATTGCATATTGTTATTAGGAAATGCGAACTTAATTAATATTAATTGCAATTTTTCCATTTGTCACTTTTTTCCCGGCATTCTTTCAACCCATCACTAGCTGGAATTAAAAGTGATTAGCCATTGCATCATACATGTATATAGAACCAGTTTGTGTTTTAATGTTTGCATTTCTTTTTTGACTATTTAGGTAGCTGACTTTTTCTTTGCAACTGTATCTAATAAAATGTTTAATAGTAATGCATTTTACTTTATTCTGCAGGTTGTAAATTCTGTTGGGTTTTTGCATATAGCATTCAAAATGTTGTTTAGATTGTAAACAGTGTGATGTTTCTTAACCTGTTTTAATTTTATTAGTTAATTTATCTTATAAGTTAAATCTTTTGACCAAGACAAAACCCATTTCATTCTCTTTGGTCATGTATTATTTAAGGCCCATTATGCCTTAGAAATGCTATCATTTTTATTTCTGAAAACTTTTTATTTTTGGTATCCTGTTACAGTTTTTAAGAATTTTTTTTGCCATATACATGAACTATCTTTTGCAATGTTGGCAATTGGTAATATTTAAGTGAATAAGTATTTTGTATGGGAGGCAAGTACTAATTTGTTTACATTTTGCTACCTTCATGACATATTACTGCATGTTTAGCGCCACTTTCTTCTGTTGTTAAAAATTCTGATAGGCTCTGATAGGTTCTAAAACATTACTAAATGCTTGACATTTCTTATGGGTTCCTGAGGCATAATGTGCCTTTAAAGTATATGATGTGTTTATCTTATTCTACAATTTTAAAAGTTTTATAAATGGATTATAATAGTAAATAAAGTACATGTAGGCCCTATAATTTAATTTGTCTGAATATTACATTTTAATTTAAATTTATGATCAGAAAAATAGGTAATGAAAATAAGTTGAAGTGGAGTATAAAGCTATATATGATGAAAATTTTTTTATAAAAAAATTATTTACAGTAATATAAAATTAAATTTTATTTTTCGTAATGTTTTGGTTGATTCTCAAAAGAGTTGTAACATAGAATGTCTTTGTGTATAATACACATAAATATTATATGTTAACAAAAATGAAATGTTTAAGAACTAATTATTTTACTGCTAATATTTTAAGTACCAGTATGCTTTTAACCGTTCATCAATGAGTTCTTGCATATGTGCCATATACAAAAGTATCCCTTTCATAAAGGTATTTTTGAGGCATTCTTATCTAAAATTCCAACCTATATATATATGTGGCTTTATACATTTCAATATTGGAGGCATTTGAAAAAAATGACGAGACAAAATTGTTACCCATCATTCATTGCTCTTTGGACATAAATGTTTTACATAATTATATGGAGTGTATGTACTCTGCTACATATTTTTGCATAAACATTGGCATGACTCACTCAGAGGAGTCAGCATTGGTATATATATATAATAGGATAAGGTCCATTTCTCAGAGACTATCAAATACATGTATATTCACATGAATATTGTATTCAAAGGTGACTTAATATCATAAGGGTAAATAATCTTAAAATTATATTTTGCATAGTTATACTCCTTTTTGACTTTTCTCCCCTGGTTAACCTTTCTAGAAACAGAAATGCCAAAGATATTTACTTAAAACTTTATTTATTTGTTCACTATGATTATAATTGGAATGCATTTCTAAACAGCTGATAGCCCCGCAAGCCTTTTGTGCCAGAGTATCTCCCATTTTATATTTTCTTCATTTTATCAAAACCATTACAGATTTGCACTTCAGTCTTAAAACAGGGTAATTCTGCCAGTAATTTCTGCTGAATTATACCAACTACCTTGCTTTTATTAGTCCCCTACCGGTTTACCGGAGGTGACTTTAGGTTTACCCTCCGTCCGTCTGTCCGTCTGTCCGTCAGTCCGTCCGTCTGTCCGTCCGTCCACAAAACTGGATCCCGCGATAACGCAAAAAGTACTGAAAATATTTTAATGAAACTTGCTATATGGATAGATGGCAGTATGGAGATTATGCACGTCTTTTTCTCTTCTTCCTATGTTGAAAATTCTTGTTGCTATGGCAACAAATAGACTGAAAATATGGCAAATTTTACACATAACCTGGATCCCGCGATAACGCAAAAAGTACTGAAAATATTTTTATGAAACTTGATATATGGATAGATGGCAGTATGGAGATTATGCACGTCTTTTTCTTTTCTTCCTATGTTGAAAATTCTGGTTGCTATGGCAACAAATAGACTGAAAATATGGCAAATTTTACACATAACCTGGATCCAGTGATAACACAAAAAGTACTGAAAATATGTTTATGAAACTTGACATATGGGTAGATGGCAGTATGGAAATTATGCACATCCTTTTCTTGTCTTCCTATGTTTAAAATTCTAGTTGCTATGGCAACAAATAGACTGAATTTCAAGATTTCTGATTCTAGTTTTTAAGTTTTTTCACTATAAGTTCTTTATTTCTTAAGGTATTTTCTTCAAACTTTAAATATAAGTTGCTTGCCATCAACCACATCACATGTGACAAGGTTTACAACTCTAGCACAAAATTTATCAGAATTACCTCCCTTGAACTTAAAATTTTCATGAAAAAAAACATTGTTTTTTTTTAATAACTTCTTTTTCTGAATGTATCTACTTCAAACTTCATATAAATGTTTCTTATTATCACTCAACATTAAATTTTGTGAGTGTTCAATACTCTAGCAAGACTATTTCCAGAATTATGCCCCTTTTGAACTTAGACATTTTTTTGAGAAATTGGTAATTTTTACTCCAACTTCTTCAATCATGATAGGATTTTAAAAATGTTATATTTTGATAACAGGCATGTTTAAAAAATAACTTTAGAGTGTCTTTCAGTCCGTCTGTCTGTACATAAAAACTGTTTCCTGTGATCACTTTTAAAGAACTTTTCAACAAATTTACTTAAAATAGGAACCTAAGTGAATGGCCAATGGCCCTTCAGAATGTTGCTTGGGCTCTTACCGGTAGGGGACTTATGGATTGCTTGCAATACTATGATAATTGCTTGTTATTCTATATAATACTGAGAAAATTCAGGTTCTCTGCTCTTGTAAATAAGCTATAGCCTTCATATTTGTACCACATGCAAAATAATATGTGTATGAAAAGGCTTTGACATTGGATGACCTTGAACTTGACCCAGTGTGCTACTTCAGTTACTCTTTCAGTTAGCACACTGTCAAACCCTTTTGTTGGTGTTTTTGTATGACATGACTCCTTGTTTTATAGTTGTTGCATTACATTGAAAAATATATAGAATTGTAGAATTATAGACTATGTATAAAATGTTGTAGAATTATTGTTCATGTTTCATCATATCATTCCATCCATCGTTTATATTATTTACTGTTGTAATTTATTTTATTCATGAAGAGAAAATGTTTGATTTTATTCAACTGTGTTTATTTTAGTTAAATAAAATATGAAACTATGTAGTATTTATATTTTAGTTATGAACTTTTAAATGTTTCAAGTTAAGAGAACTAACGAACACTTTTCCAAGATAAATGTCAACACGGTATCTGTTTTTTACGAGGGCTGTTCAAAAGGTAATAGGACTGCAGCTCTACTGTTCACAAATTTTAATTAACGTACACAATTTTACAAGAGAAACATATCGGAACATTATCTCTATATACAGTGAAAAAAATCAAAGCAATATGCTAATAAACAATAACTCCATGAAAATTACAAATAACAAGGCGCACGCTATAATGGTACAACAAACGACGTCCATGACATAGCAAAATAAATACAAAATATCAATAGCGTAAGTACTTACCCCGGGTGTTATTTATTTCGGGATCATATAATCTGTACCCTGTCTTGTTTGTGGTGATGATGCGAGATAGAAAACGATCATCCTTTTGCTCCGATGTACGCAGAAAGACCAGGGAGTGCTCTTTTTCATAATTTATGAGTAATCTTGGAAATCAAGGGATGTGAATGGAGTTAATTATTTATAGAAATAATTTACACATGTCATCGTCTGATTTCAAAGCAAACTGAATATATTTACCGTAAAAATGTATCAAATGAAAATTATTCTTTTTTATACTCCCCAAACGAAGTTGGGGGGGGGGGGGGCTATATAGGAGTCACTCGGTGGTTGGTCGGTCAGTCCAGCGGTCCGTTAATTGATTGCATTTTACTTGTCCTGAGCATAACTTGAAGACTAATGATTGGAATTCAATACAATTTCATACAATGGTCAAGCACATTGAGAGGAAGTGCAGTGCACAAGAACCATAACTCCATCTTCACTAATTACAGAGTTATTGCCCTTTGTTACATTTCCTTGTCTGGAGTATAACTTGAAAACTACTGGTTGGAATTCAAAACAACTTCATACAATGGTCAAGCACAAAATGGGGAAGTGCAGTGCACAAGAAGCAAAACTCTATCTAAAGCAATTACAGAGTTATTGCCCTTTGTTACTTTTCCATTGCTTTCTTTTGTCCGGACCATAACTGGAAGACTAATTGTTGGAATTCAATATAACTTCATACAATGGTCAAGCACATTGAGAGGAAGTGCAGTGCACAAGAACCATAACTCGATTTTCACAGAGTTTTTGCCCTTTGTTAC